GTTGGGGAAGGTGAGAGTGGGAAGCGACCAGGATCAGAGGAGGTAAGACTTTAGTGGATGCTGATTTCCTTTATATTTTTGCTGTTCATCTTGTGCCAAGTTTCTCTCTGGGAGTGATGCTCCTGGTCTGAACTCCACCTGATAGTGTTATTTATCTGGGGAGGGCCCAGCTGCAATTGCAGCAGAGAGGAGAATCATAGTTGCATTGCACTCCTGGCGTCCCCCTGCCGCCCACTAGGCCAGTGCCAGCAACTCAGACTGCAGTGGAAAGCTTCCTCGCCACTCTGCTGTTTCCTCTTCTCTGCAACCCATGTGACTGTACCCTTGCTGATGACTTGCCTGGAATGAGTCTCTCCACCCCCTCTAGATCTGTAACTAACTATAATTAGCAAGCTGCTTTCTCGAGTTGAGGGAACAACCACAGGCCAATGACACACAGGACCACTCAGAAGTGAACCATGCTCACAGCCTTCCTTGCCATTCAGTCTCTGGTTCTGCATTTGGCATCCGAGACTGCCTGGTAGCTGTCTCTACTGAACAGTGCAGTCTTCTCCTTGCTCCTTCAAATTGAACAGGAGTGTGGCACTCCTGAAGTGGTTGATTCTTCCTGAGGGGTGTATTCTCAGCAGACATCCTGGGAAATCTTTTCCTGTCAGTTTTTCCTGTATAGGACAGGGTCTAGCAATTAGCTGCCCTAATAAGAGCACAGGGTAATTCTAAATGTGGTAGTGTTAAAGGTTTTTTCTTAAAGTCCCTTTGTGTGGCAAACAGTGTATTATGTCTGCGCAGCACAATGGGTTACATAGATTCCTGCATGGTATTCACTATAGGGAGAGCCTACAGGATGCTGCAAAGATTCGTGTTCTCAGAAGGAAGTGGCTGCTTGGAAGTGCAATGCTGCCACAGGAATTGGTGGTTTTGGTTTTCTTCTGTCCCATCTCTAGGATATGGAAAGTCCCGCAATAAAGCGGCTACGGACAGTGGCAAAATCTTCTATTCTGTCCCTGCCAGAAAGCAAAAGTGTTGGTCCAACAAAGAAGAAGGTGACTTTTGATCCAAACTTATCACAGTGTGATAAAGAAGGAACCAGCAAGACTGTACAGCCAGTGACCAAAGGCGTGTCCCTCAAAGAGACAGCAGACATCGTTGTCAAATATTTGACGCCATTCTACAAGGGTGGCAAATTTGCTTCCAAGGTAGGGTACAACTCAAGACCCTTAGCAGAAGGAGACTGCACCTTCCTAGTGAGCTGGGGCTTTAAGAAGGGGAAGATGATCTGGTTACCACATTTCACTTCCAGGTCACATCTTGGTATGTGCTGTTTTAGTGACTCTAGGTGCAACAACTCAGCTCTCCCAAGAAAGGGTTTGTGTGTGATTTAGAGTGGTATCATGTTGGTTCCACGCTTGTTTGTGATTGTTCATATTTTCACGCTAAACTCCACAGGTGGGAGTTCTTAAAAAACATGCCGGAGTGGCAACAGATTAGGTTCAATTCTGGTGTAGTTTACTTGATGTGTTCTGCAAGGCAGGATGTGTGTGCATGTGCTTCTCCAGCACTGCAGGGTTGGGTGCATTTGCAGGTTTGCAACATTCCTGTAGTCTAAATCTGTGAATAGTTTGTGCTACAGCCAGCCTGTGCTAAGGGCAAGATGAATGTGGAAACAGTCTGGTGATGTAACCAATGTCTGCTTCCTGTGTTTTATCTTCCCCAATTCTGCAGGATCTGTTTAAGGGCTTTGCTCGGCACCTGTCTCACTTACTGGCTGAAGAGCAGAACCCTGCGCGCAAGACTGGTGAGTTGATAGCTGGGGAGAGCACCAAGAATCTTGGGTTCTTTTGATGCTAAATGGATTGATGTCTTTAGAGGGGGTAGATGTCTTAAGTATCATCTCAAAGGTGGCACTTCCTCTCTTGCAGTGAAGGAGGAAGCACAGAGACTCATCAAGGAGTTTTTCAAAACAAGGGTCAGGTGTGAGAGTGAGACAGACTGGCAGGAGCTGCAGAGCTCAGAGAGATGATCCTTGCGTCACATTGGCTGTCTTCCTTCCTCCAGCAGTGGGACCAGGGTATCCCGAAGAACTCAGCCATGGAGGGTTTCATGAAACTGCAGAAGTGAGCTTTCTTTTCCCACTGCATTTTTGCTTACTTCTGACCTTAGTGACATGCACTTCCAGGAAACCAGGTTCTGGGAACTTATGGAGAGTTTCTCCAATAACTAGGGCACTGAAGCCCTCTAATACCTCTTGCCAAGAGGTATGAAGTCTGCATCTGCTGTGTAGTTTAGGGGCTGGTGCCTCAGATGTTCTGCAACTTCTACTCCCTGCAGCAGTCTGGGAAGGGCTCAGACTTTCCAGTGGGGACTCTGCTTTGGGATTGCATCTCGCTTCCTAGATAGCTCCTCCCCTTGCTCCCCCATCTCTTAGTTCTTATTTCAATGTTACCAGTAGAAGCCTTATGCTACAAGTTCACATGCTTTGCTCAGGGCTGCCAATGATGAACTTGATGGTTACGTTCCTGGATGGAATGTTTTCCCTTGAAGGACAAGAGGGGAGAGTTTTGTTTTTACCACGCAAGCAATGCCGACTTTCTGAAGGTGGAGAAACTTGGGTTCTTTTTCTTTTAATCTAAACTTTTTTTTTTTTTACTTTGTCTAGTTCTGTCTGCCCTTTAACTTAAGCAGTGATGCTCTTTCAGTATTAACCTCTCCAATAGTGGCATCAAGGTTGCCAACACTTTTCCAGCATTTGCTTGTAACCCCTAAAGCCATATTTGCTCCCTGTGCCTCACCCACAGTCTGCAATACAGAGGGCAATGTTGCTGTTACAACTGGTTAAGGTACTGCTGTGGCCCTCAAATTGACACTGTGGTGCCTCTGCTGCTATATTTATATAAGGACCTGAACCTTAGGGTATCCAGTGGGCTTGAAATAACCTGATTCCCTGGCACAAGTCCTTTCTGTTGGGTTTTTGTTGGGTTCTGCCTTTGTTCCATGCCTACAGAGGCTGGTGGCCTCCGGCACTAGCGCTGCTAGAGGAATCTGCAGCCTGAGAGGCCATCAAACAGGCTTTTGGATCACTGTACTCAACAAATGTATTTTTTTTTAAATGTACTGAAATGTATGTGCGGAACTGACAATAAAACAATGTTATAGCTGCTGTGGACTCTTCCTGCAAGCTTTTTCTTATCACTCAATCACACAGACTGGTCTAAGATACTTTTAAAACTCCAACACTATGAACATAGACATGAAAGCTCATTTCTTATCTGAACAGACAGCTAATAAATGCAAGCCCAGGATGGGATGGATGGGAAACATGTGCCAGCAGACACCTCCAACCCTTTATAGCTGCAGGACTTCTCCAGCTAGAACCAGGAGAACCTGGAAATGTTTAACTCAAAAGTCACTTTCATCTTCAGCTTGCTCTGCTCACTGGAGGACAAAGGGCTTTACAAGAAGCTTTTTACACAACAAGTTTTTTCAGCTGTTGCCTGCTGGCTTCTATTTTACCTTCCCATTAAAAATCCTGTTTCATTAGCCACTTAAGTGGGGTTACTATCTCTCCAGAGTTCAGTGCTTATAGAGTTCAGCTGCTGCCTGGGTGAACTTCTCAGAAATGCTTTGTTTATCTTGTAAATCTGTAAGCAGATTTGTGTGACAAAGTGCTTTATCAGAGTGTGGGGCATTTCTAACCAGATGAGTTGTGCTTCTATGTAAGGCAGCAAAAGCTCAAAGAGAAGGGGAATAAGGATAAGTTAATCTTTAGATATTTTTTCTCTTCCTTTCTTTCACATTGTTGTGGTGCTTTACCTAAGCCTTGCAGTAGCACTGCTGAAGGGGAAGGGTGGAACATGCTTCAGCTAAGACCTCACAGGCCACAGCAAGCAGCAGTCAAAGGGAAGTTCCTGACAGGGAAGATGCTGTAGTTACTGCTAGCATCAGCTCACTAGCAAGAAGCTAGCTGTGCGTTATGGCTTGCACTGAGCACCCTCAGCTCTATCCCCTTCCTAGCCAACAGTGACAACCTTTTCCTCAGGCTTTGCCAGTTACCTGCAGGTCAATCTTCCCATGTTAGATGTAAACCAGTATCTGTTATGTCATAGTTTCAAAACATCTCTATGTGATTATTTTATTGCAATCTCCTAAAGTGCAGATACTTTTCAGTTCAGTAGGATAGCTGTAGCAATAAAAATAAGTTAAGCATTTTTGTACAACCCAGGACACTCTCCTCTGCTGTAATACAAATTCCATTTGAATACACTTTCTTCACAGGTATGGAGCCATCATTTAAATATGACAGCTTCATGGACATGACTGACTTCTTTCTAGTAGAGGGAAACATATGCTATAATTATGTCAGTAAGAAATTAATTAACAATAAACTTTCTTACCATTGCAGCTCAATCTGTGCCCCAGCATATGTGTTAATTATATATTAACACTGATCTGCTTTGCAATTGAGATGCTTTCTACAAGCTCCTGCTTCACAAATCCTGCTATAGGGCCTCTTGCATATCAATACAGGGAAAAAGCTGGCCTATGGAAAACACCAGCAGTCAGTACAGTCATTTCATAGCCTTAGCTGTGCATTGTGATACACAAATCTCTAGCAAGCATCAGTCTTTTCTCATGTTAATTAATTAAAGAAGCATCCCACACTACAAAGCTTGAAGGCAATTGCTTGCATCTGTTCAGCTGCTCTGTGTTGGAACAGGCTATGAAAAAGCAATGGTGTGAAAGGGTGTCTTGTGCTTTGTTTAGCCACTGCATACATCACTTCAAGGAAGAGTACATGGGAACTGAATGGCAGGTCACAAGGGATGAGATTATTGTCCAGTCCCTCAACAAACACTGTGGCGGCAGTCTTAGAAAGTAGCTGTCTGAGGTCATGGATGTCTTTTGGAAAAGTCGTCTCCAGAAGACAGGGCAGGAAGCACTGAACAAGCTTGAAGAAAGGAAAACAGTGCTGTTTTGGTTGGTCATTCTCCTCCTCTTAGGCTCTAGTGGTGCAACTCTGTTTTATCCAGGATGACAACAATCGTGTGATACATTTCTTTAGCCTGTCAAAACACAAATCAGTATCAGTCATTCTCTGCCCCAGAAATGGCTGCTTCTCATAATTAAATATTCCCATAAATCACTTTCCATAATTAAATATCAGGTACTTGCTGGGACAAAGCTGCGCTTTGTGGCCTGGGAAATGCAGTGCCCCCATCCACCTCTGGGACAGAAGAGAGCAGTAGTACTGACTCTTAGCAGAGGCTCAGCTGGGCAGTGGAGGGCAATTTCTGAATTGCCAGGAGGAAGCTGTAGGTCCAGGCTGATCTCACCTGTGACAGTTCAATCCACATAGTCTTGGGGTTGGCAGCTGAGCCATAGTTCATTTCTATGCCGGGAAGCCCACCATCAGAGACAGGCTGCAGGGTTCGCATCTTCTGCAGCTCTTTCAATGGAATGACGCAGGAGACCTCCTGTGTAAGGAGAAAAGCCACAAAACGCTCTCTGGTGCAGTCCTTACAAATAAAACCATCCAATTCTCACCAAGGAGGATTCACCTCAAGAGCTTATTGAAAGCTGAGACAAGGACTGGGGCAGTCAGAATACAGGGCAGGCTGCTGCTGACAGCATGTCCCTAGAACTCTCTTAAGATTGGGACAAACAGGAACGTGACCTACACTTAGTTTTACTGTGGACTGTGCTTATTAGCATGGTCACTGCACTTACAAAAGAGCACATGGCAGTACTAACTGTTCTACCACTCTTGTCACTTGCTTTGGGCTAGGGCTGTTGTTAGAGTTGCTGTGATGCATGTAAATACAGTCTCTTCCTGCGCAAGTTCTTCTAAAAGTCAGAGTTAACGTCTGACAGACATCAGGGCTCTGGACTCTAGGGAGGAATTGTCTGGCATACCTGGGTGGTGCCATCTGCCACAATGATCTCCTCTTTATTCACACCAAAGAAACAGGGCACAGGGATTGTGTCATCACTGACTCTCTCTACAAAGTAGGTGTTGTAGCCAAAGAAAGGCAGTTTCATCACATGCTCTGTAAGAAAGCAAAAGGTGGCTTTCAGGCAGCAGCTTCTAGCTAGCAATCTACTGCACCAACCTAAGGTGGTCAAAAGCTGCAAGCATTCCCAAGTTTTCTACATTGAAAAGTAAGATTGACAACTTCTCCCTCCCTCCCTCCCAGGCAGCTGATACTCAATTCTCAGCAGCCTGAATGGATGTCCCATTCTTTTCCAACCAGAAAACAGCTGTGCAGCCAGAGTATCAATTAAAACACAACTTGTACAGAGCTCTGAATATCTACTGTAGACTTCTACAAAAGAGGTAGAACTTCTACCATGATCACCACGCTTGGGAACAAGTGCCAATCTGCAGGAGGCGGCTGTCAGGGAGTTCTATGTCATGGCCCATTCCAGGCTCTAAGGATCTTTGCCAACCTCATGAACTGTCTCAAAAGTGCCTTCAGAGCAGCTTCCATCATGCTCAGGACAGACGACTCAAGCAGATCTGGATGTCTCCTCACCTATGAACTGGATTTTTGCATCCACTGGCTGGAGGGGCTGCCTGGTTCTCAGCAGCATGCCAACATGGTTCTGCAGAGCCTGGGGTCTGATGGAGGACTGCAGGGTCTGTGGTGTGTACTCCTTCAGCTCTTCCCTGTGCCAACAAGCAGATACTAATTCACCCCCTGCCCAGCTAAAATCAAAAGATCAACCAGGGGGATTAAGAGGAAGGAGGGGATGTGGCAACAATTTTCAATTGCATGGCTGGGGCAAGGGTGGAGGGAGAGGGTAAGAGCACAACAGGTCGTATCTGAATTGGGTAATGTGGAAGGAAACATCAGAGACAGTGAGACCACCATTTTCCACAGAGAAGGCAGCTGTGCACCACTGAGTAGTGCACTCAGAGAAATCTCTCCTTTCTGGAGACAAGAGGAGCTCTTCAAGCAAGGACTGTAGCATGGAAGTAAAGCCACAGGGTGTTTCTTTCACAGACAGTCTCAGCTGAACACCACCTTATTCTAACCCTGTCTTGCTCCTGTTCATCCAAAGCGCTACACAGAGCAGAGCTCCAATGCCCAGCAGGGTTATGGTATTACCCCCTGCTGCTGGTGCTGTAAGGGGATCTGATGCAGACATTACCTCAACTCCAAGTCAAAGTGCATAAGAGTACAGGAAGGAAGGAGTGTGAAAATAACAGCTCAGGGCTGCAGGACAGAAGCTTTCCAGTACCCAGGGACATTTTCATTCCCATTAGGCATCTCACTACAGATTTTGGGTGCCCAGGGTTGAAAACTCTGACGCTTGTGAGAAAGAACAAAGGAGCATTCATCCCAACAATAAGCTCATGCACTTCCTTCTTGGTATTGCAAACACATGGCAGTCAAAAGAAATGCCCATGGCACCCTCATGAACCTCAGCTCAGGATTCACAAAAGGAAATGTGGATCAGAGACTGTCAGCATTAAGAGGGTGAACAGAAGGTCAACTTTCTTGATTATGGGCAGGAGTCAGTCACTAAGTGACATTAATTAGGAGCTTATGTTCTCCAGAACTGTCCATTCCTTAATTATCCAGCAAGTACTTTCAGGCACCTACTCCTAACCCCTGTGGTTCCAACAGCCATTAGAGATAGAGACCCACCCTGAGACAGACATACCTGGAGAGAGCAGAGTTCTGCTGCTCTGCTTTGGCCCAGTGCTGGAGCACTGCCAAAATGCCCACCTGCATCTCCATTTCTTTACTATGGCTCAACAGTATCCTCCCATTCAGGTAATCCCACAGGATCTGAGAGACAGCACAGGAAAGAGCCCTTTGTTAAACCTGCCAGAAAGTTCAGGCATGTCTGGGCAGTGCCAGGCTGCGAGACCTACATCCTGCCTTGCTGATAACACATCCAGCTCAGGCTGATAACACAAAAACAAGGGCTTTCTGGGCTCAGGAAGAGGATGCAGAACTGCACAAACCATGTCTGGTTGAGTACAGCTCATAGGCTAGGGCTACAGGCACACTGCCTTCCTTGCATCCATAGCTTCAGTTATTAGCCATTCCCAGAAACAGCACACAAAGCCAATCAGCCAAAGCCCTCCCGCTTCTTCAGCCCCCTTGGGACATTCCCATTGGCCTGTACACTAACTCTGCCCTTGCTAGGGAGCCCTTGCTAGGGAGGTTCCTGGTGTGCACATTGGCCTTGTTGCTTACCTGTCCATAATGGACATCAGTATAAATTTTGTTCTCAAAGTGCAGAGGTGTCCTCCAGATGAGCCTGCGTAAAGTCACAGTGACCAACTTGTCCTCCAGCAGGTAATCATGAAGATACTCCTCCGATCTTAACGGCCTCACCATTTTATCTACATGTTTATGCAGAGAGAGGGTCATCACACTTGGTACTGAGACAGTGGGCTGAGCTCTATGACCTGGGACAGGACCCTTCCTGCACACCTCTATTCCACCCTGCCCTTACCACTCCGAGCATCAGCCATTCCAAAGGGACATGGACCCACACAGACACACACACCTCTCTCAGGAACAAGCAACACAGCCCCCGATAAGCCACAACCCTTAACCCTAGTACAGAGGGAAACTGCAGAAGAGGAACCTCCCCGGAACCAGCAAGCATGGGGGAACTGTTTGAAACAGTAGCCATGGTCCTCCCTGTTGGAGGGAAAGAAAGAAGCTACATGCTAGTCTCTACTTGCCGAGATTATTGCTGTCACTCTTGATGGCAAAAAGAACAAATTCCTGTATCTCTTCCTGTTCGCCTGCCCCCATCTGCTCACAGATCTCCTGCAAGAGCTCCTTGGCCACCTGAAGCAAGGAAAGAAGCAAATAAATACTGTGGCCAGGCAAGCCCAAAGCTGCCCCAGAGCAATTAGACATACTGGGCCTGTTGGAGGGCAGCAGTATGGCTCTGGCCATTGCTCAAAGAAGCAAGCTGGGTGAGGCATCCCAGTGTTGTGCAGGCCCTGAAGAGATATGCTGCTACAGGGATTCCTAGGAAGTGAGTGGGAAACTCTCACAGCACTATGGGAAGCACAGGCCAAGCCCAAGGTTTTGACAGATAAGGGAATTCCCTGGTGTAGGTCAGAGTCCAGTTCAATGAAGAAATTCAAAGCAGAAAACTCACAGTGAATGTCTTTATTCTGGTGAGGTATTCCACACCTCCAGGCATCAGTATCACTAGCCGGCGGGCACCACGCCCCTTCTGCAAAGGACAGTCTTTAGGCAGCAAGACATGCTGGATCCCATCAGCTCCACAATTGTTTCTCTCTCTTCCTCCTCATGTCTGCCTTCCACTGCTTGCCCATAGTACCTGCCTCTTCCCTGCCCACTCCATGGCATTGCATTTCCCAATCCCCTTACAGACACATGCTTCATTTCCTCTCTTGGAACACTAACTGCCCCTGTTACACTGCACATGGCACCTTCTGGCAAGCCTCTGCCCTCCTTCTCTTCCCAGCATCCCCACTTCTCTGCCCCTCAATACCAGCAATGCCTCTATCTCCACAGGGAAAGGAAGGTGGCGGCGGCCCCCGTACATGAAATTTTTCCGCAGGTTGCTCTGACAGATCTTGGCTATATCTGCAGGAAGAAGAAAAAGCTTCATGTGTGGAGCCAAACAGAGGACTAAGCATTGTCTCCTATGGTGTTGGGTCATCCTGGCTGTGTTGAATTTAACCCAGGGCTGCTGCTAGAAGAGCAAAGAGACTTGACGTCATCTCCCACTTTGCCAGGACACATCCAAATCATGAGGGGTCAGCCCCAGACAGCATCCAGGGCAGTAGGAATACAGAGGAATGACAGGATGGGAGAACTAGAACCCTCTTCTCTGGCAGGATTCCAACCCAAATACCTCACAGCTGATGACTCTGGAAGACCACTGCCTGCCTTTCCCCCAGGGTCTAGCTTTCAAACTGGGCTTAAGCCACAGTGCTAAGCTAAGCCTCAGAGACACAATTCCACCTTGCCTGGGTGAAGATGCAATGGGAAATGACCTCTGCAAACAGAAAGACTAGAGATAAAATGTGGACTCGTGCCCGCAGGCTCAGCTGCCTCAGTACCCCATTCATTTCTCCTGCCTAACAGGATAAGGGAGATTTTCCCATTGGACCGTGTCCCCACCTGGATCCTGTCTTCTTTCCTTGACCACTGGGCCTTAGTAACAAGAGGGCAGAATTTTATTGTACAGAACACAGAAACAGTCATACCATGGTGGGTGCTAGATGGGTCACTGCTGGCTAGCTGCAGAAACTTGGTGGCATAGGGCATCAGGATGTTAGAAGGGAGGAAATACCCAGTTAGCAGGTTTAGGAGCAACCAACCACGCAGCACGCTCTCCCTGTGGAACAGAAAGATCTGTGGGCACCTTGGAACAAGACAATACCTGCTTGAAGCAGCTCAAAATGAGCCTCTGCCCTTCTGAACACCTAGGTCAGGTGGCAGAAAATGAGATGGCAGCCCTTAGTCAGACATTTCTTATGCTGAGGAAGGAATTGATTCAGTTATTCTAACAGCAAACAAAGCAAGGGAACAGTCAAGGCCACTCTGATGCCACTGCTGACATATTGCAGGGCAGTGTGGGGTCAAGCCACTCTCTAACTGTTGTATGAATTCTCCAGGGCTGTGATGAGGAAATCAGGGGTCTGAGCAGCACCACTACCAGGAGCTGCCAGGTATGTTTATCAGTGCCCAGATAGATCAGCAGCCAGAGATACAAGGACAAACATCCATTGAAGTGAAAATGCCAAACCCAGTGACTGGCTAAATTTCCAGAGCGCTCAGCAAAAGCCCCAGCATCTGGGCAGCTGGGGACAACACATCATTAGGGGTCAGCCTCTCTCCTGGCCCTAGTGTCCATGCAGTGAGGTAGATGGTTCCCCTCCAGCTGTGCACACACAGGAGCTGACAGTGCTGGTACTCACTGGTTAGGGTTGTGGGTGACCTGTTTGATGACCTGGCAGTAGACCTCATCATGCAAACTCTCCTTCTCCTTGCACAGCTGCATTCAGAGAGGAGAAGGCAGCATCAGAGTGGGGACAAGAGAATCAGAGAGGCCCCTGGTCATCTCTGTGCCCTTCCTCTCCCAGCTCCAGAGCTCTGCCAATTTGCTTAAAGCTTGGGCTTTGCAGGCTCTGGTCTCTAGTGCTATCTAGGCCCAAAGAAGGAGAGGCAGGTTATATGCTCTCATCCAGACAGTGATATCCAGGGAAAGCATTTACATGTAACCCCTCCCCCCCATGATTTTAATCAGCCTTTCTGCTTCAGGTCCCTTTCTCATGCAGGAGGTTGCATTATGACTCTCCCTGCTCTCTCCCTTCCCAGCAAGGTCTTGGCCCTTCATTCCCATTGGTGCTTCAGCGCCTTGCCCAGGGGAAGTTCACAAACCTGAAGGATTTCATAGATGCATTCAACCTCATTCTGGTCCTTAAGTTTTGATTGATCTCCCATGAACCGCATCAGAGCTGTAAAGCAAGGGCTAGCATGTAGGTCTAAGCAGAGGTGATCCTGCCATGGGGCAGGCAGTAGACTAGAAAATGTCCTGAAAGCTTTTCTGCTCCATGGGCTATTACGAGCCTTGCATGTGTAGTCAGTCAGTGGGGCATCAGCCCAGGCAGTGTGTGTTCTTGGACACTTTGCACTCAAGGCAAAGTGCATTTTGCTGGAGGCTTTCAGCATGGACACAGGTGGTTATTAACTGCAGAAATGCCTTAGAAAGAGTCCTCCTCTCACAGTTTTCATTTCCCACTCTGGGCCCTGTGATGCCTATGTGTGGCCACTAAGTCCGTCCCTCTCACCCCTGCTCCAGCCTCTGCAGTATTGTGTTCTAGGGAGGTACTTACTCTTGAAGTTCTTTGTAGCAAGCTCATTCAGCTCACTATCAGAGTACCGGAGCAAAGACTGCTTGATTGGGACCTGCAGGGCCAGAATACAAGGGTAAGCTGGGGAGGCAGATCACACAGAGCTGTGCTGCAGTCTTCACAAAGACACAAGCTCCCAGTATCTTGCAGGCAGCACTGAAGAACAGGGGTCACCTACGCTTCTCCAGAGACTGCAGCCAAGGATTTGCCCTCTGCAGTTTTTTCCATGTGGGGACAAAGCTAGAGGCAAGGCTGGAGCTGGGATTCTGCCTGTAGCCATGGGGAGACACTGGGCTCACCTTGGTGTGCCGGACCAGGTCAGCTGCACTCTTCTTTTCAGCAGACATCCCCTTCAGTCCCTGCCTAGACAGAGGAAAGGGAACATGCAATCCAAGAAACATCCCCAGAAACAGCTTGGTGTAGGTCAGGCTACACAGATCCTGTGTACACCTGTTCAGGAAGGACCACAGCCTACTCACATGGACTGAGCCTCTCGGAAGTAGGCTGTGGCGAAGTCCATCATGGTATAATGATCACCAGCAGGGACTAACATGATGCTGTTGCGTTCTGATGCCAGGCTGGGAACAGAACTCTGCAGAGACAGGCAGCAAACCCACCCTAAAAAGTCAGCTGAGGAACCACAGTGTGTATTCTTCTCACCTGCCAGACCTGGGAAGGCCTGATCTGTGTGTGATGCCTCCCTCACCCACTATGACAGTATTTGAGTGTCTCCATCTGCAAGGATTAAGCAGTCATCTTCTTCCCTCTAGCCTGGGAGGTTAGACACTACCAGGCCCACGGACCCACCCTAGCAGCTCCCACAGAACCCGACTATATCCCCTAGAAGTTCCCCAAGGACAACTCACCTCCCTGCTGGTGTTCCTGCTCTCTGGGGAAGCTTTCATGCTCTTCCGCAGCCCTCCACATCTGTCCATGCTGGTACTGAGGTAATCAGGGGCTGCAGCCAATTGCACCAGACTGGTGGGGAAAATACCGCAGCGGCCACCAGTGGAGCCAAACTGCCAGCCTGCAGAAACAGGGGAGAGTCAGGAACCATGGCAGCTACCAAGAGAAATGAGCAGTGAAGCATTCTACTGGCAGAGGACAGCATCAGACTGACCAGGCTTTCCTGCATCCTAAGATAACATCCCCTGCAACTATGGCAGCTGGAACAAGGCGGGTTGTCGTCAGAGAATGGCAGAGCTGAAGGCTGACTATGCCAGCCCTTAAGAGTCTGCTTTCCTCTGGTTTACTCAACAGCAGCATGTAGAACTTCGGGGCACCATGGGTCCAGCAGGCCCTTGAATCCATTCCCCACCTTTCCTCCCAATCTTGACAATCTCCCTCACCTGGCTCCACGCCTTGCATGGGCAGTAACTCAATGAGGTCACCCTTCTTGAAGCTAAGAAGGCTCTTGTCATCTGCAATGTAGCTGCGCAGAGCAACAACGTAGTTGGTATCCTGGGGAAAAAGCAATGGGAAGGTCAAATCTCATCCCCAGGATGTGAAGGACTCAGACCATGTCATCCTATGGACCCGCTCAGGTCCATGTGGGAAACCACCTTCATTCCCTACTGCACTACAGCGCTCCCTCACCTGCCTCAGCTCCTCGATGAAGAGTTCCACCATAGCCTTGATGCACGGAGCCTTCGGAGAGTGCAGGAAGAGCTGCTCTGTCTTCAGAGAGAACTCCACGGCACTGCTGCCCTTCAGTTCCACTGACAGCACATCTGCAAAGCTGAGAATACAGCCAGCATAGTTGGAGTCTTTATGCCAGAGCTAGGGATGCAGATCATGGGGATGGGACCTCATTCCAAGGACTGAGAATGGAGACAGGCCTCAGCATGCTCCAGAGGGTGGCCTTTCACCAGCACTGTATTACAACACTAATAGCACCATAGGCTGCTCATGGCTTTCACCTTACCACTTTGAGGACCTCCCTTGTGATGATATTCATGGAGCTGACTCACACCTAGCACTCACTTATTCTAAGCAAAGCAAAAGGTGGGAAGGAAAGGGAAAGACCACACTCATTAGAAAGAGGGTCAGTGAGTCACAACTGGACTAGGACAATCCTAGAGAACACAGCACAACCAGGGAATTTTCAGCTCAACCATTCAGTTTGCCTCCTAACACTCTGAAAACATCCTGCACGTGACAAATTATCATCCTGCAGCAACCAGTGCCCTTTTGCTCACCTGTAGCTGCAAAGAATCTTCAAGTGCTCAGGATTATAGCCAGCTGCTTTCACCACCTTCAGCAGCCTCATGCCCCGGTGAGAAACACCCAGGATCTGGACATCACTTCCATTTTCGCCCTGTAAGGAAAGTGCAGCCAGAGAGCATGAAAGGCTCCATCTCACCTGGACAGGATGGAGCAGGGGAAGAAGATGCTACCACATGTACCATGAAGGAGGCCCTGGGCTGACAGAGGTGTCAAACACAGCAAGGTACAGAAGGCACAGAAGAATGAGCGATGTGTGGCCAGGCAGGGAGACAGAAGGAGATCCTGGATAAGCTAGAGCCACACACCTAAAGCAAGCCCAGGGTCTGGCAAGAAGGTTAAAACTCACATGAACCGGGAAAAGGCGGGAGAAATAGTTAGCCCAGTTATCCCGAGCAGCCAGTACAATCCTCTTCTTTATCCCATCTTCCTGAATGGACTGGATGTCATTGCCAACCCGGAACTCCACTAGCAGGGTTACAAAGCAGATACTTTTTCAGTAAGACAAAGATGTTCAAGTCTCCCTCTCTCCAGGGACTCATTCCCACTAGTCCCCCTCACTGATTACAGTGCAGCAAATGACAAGCAGAGGCAAAAGGATACCACATTACTTGCACACACCAGTCTACTACTAGTTTCTCTGCCCCTCTCCATGAAGCTCCTGTCAAAGATGACAGTTGAATTTTACGACAACTCAAAATCCCATCCTTAGGTCTCAGTTTCCTCTCCCCACAATAAACATATCAGAACTAAGTGTTTCTGGCTCAGAGAAATTTCAGGGCTGTTTTCTGGCCATCTGGAATAAACAAACATTCCCGCACTGCACTACACAGGACACACAAATGTGCTTTCTTGCTGCAGTGACAAACATTTCTCCTCTGCCCTAAGTCCTGCCTGAAAGGGCTTGGAGGAAGGTTTCTCATTTCAAACCAAAAGCTGGCTTGGGCACAGGGAGGAAGGGATGATGGGGCTGTTAATTACTCAGCAGGTCTTTCATCTTGCGCTTCTCCTCCTTGGAGATCCGAAAGCAGGATTCAGAGAAAGTGTCACGCATGATCTGCAGAGGAAGGAAACAGAGAGACTTCCATTGAAGAAGCCACATCTGAATATGTTGGAAATCTGAGGCTGTTTAACAGAGTGAGTTTCAGAGAGGAGTAAACAGGGGCTTGACTGGATGGATCTGGAGAAGAGACTAACACTGCTAGGGATGCAGAAGTGAAGGCAACTTATACAATGTAATTATGGGGTGTTTTGTCCCCAAAGAGACAACAGGTCTTGAGTCATACACCAGTACATACCTGTTCACACAGCAAGTTCAGACAATAAGGGTGACTGAAATTTTCTTTGGGGTAAAACACCTGCAAGAGGAGGATAAAAACAATAGTGAAATTACGGATGTTGCAGAAATAGCTCCCCAGGGATGTTTTGTAATCCATATGCCCTGCTGCCAGAGAGGAGTGAGTTCATCTCCAAGGACAGGCAGGGAAGAGACACTATGAATGTGAACAGAAGGACCAGGAGCGAAGGACCAAAAGTAAAGTGGTGAGACCATGGGATGAACCCTGGTCAGTTCAGTGCACTCTTGAATATTTGATTTTAAACACATTTGTACTATTTTAACAGGAAAGCACCAGGTAACAACAAATTTACTTTATTTGTAGATCTCTTAGTGCTTTACAGAGGAAGGAAAGGACAGGTGTGGAAACTGAGACACAAGAGTCAGTAAGGCAGAGTAGGACCCACATCCCCTATGAGATGATCCCCTACCTCCTCCCAGAACTATCTTTGTGCTCTTATATCACACTGGGTGCCTATGACAAAAAAACAAATGTGGGACTAGTTCCCTCCTTCCGCAGCAAGCCCTCAGCTAATGAACTGTACCTCTTTGCGCAGAAAGATTTTCCAGGCAGGGTTGACATAGGAAAAGCTGACACTGGTAGTGAGCTTGTACAGCTGGGTCTTGATACCATCATCTTCTGCTACTGTTACAGCAGAGTCTGTGTGAGGAGAAAGAGCAGTGAAGATGGGCTTTGCTGACTACAGGGTCACCTTCCCACCTGCCAAAGACCTACCAAGAAAAAGGGGACAGTGCTATATGCCTGATGGAAGATTATTGTCAGGAACCTTCTTGAAGGTCAGGGATCAGCTAATGTGAATGCATGCATAAAACAGTCATCATGTGAGTACCAGCATTTCTGATAGCATTTATACTTGCTGTATTAGCCACAAAGTTCAGTGCTTATAATAGAAACACTCCAGAGATAGGGAGCACACAGCGTCCCAGACAAAATACTAACCTGTGAAGACACAAGTTTCACTTTAAGTCATTATAAAAAGGGTGCTAAAGGCTTCAAATGGGCATAAAAATTCTCCTCTGAGCTTGCAGACTGCAAGGTTCTGGTACAAGGCACCCAGCACTTGCCCTGGATTTCTCTCTGCAGGAGATCTATTAAAGACAGGCTCAGTTTGAAGGCAACCATTCAAAGGCATTGCTTTATGAGGTAGGAATGTCTTCATTAATCACTCCCAACTTTCAAAACTTCAGAGTTCATGGACAAGAAATGTAGTAGATCCCATAGTTCAGCACAGTTCTATATCCATATTCAAAAGCATGTAGGGATTTTTCAGGCTAATCCAGTTACTTCAATTTACTTTCACGGTATTTCCTAAAGAAACATTGTTTAAAAGAGAGGGGGAGTGGAACAGGCAAATTCTTTTATACCAGGGAAGCTCCTGCAGGATGGAGTCCTTCAGTAATGTGTTTGGCGGACTGTTGCTTGCATGTTATAAAATGTGATGCTGATGAGAGTTTTAAACAGCTTGAAATACATTGGTACATGTATCCAAAATAGCAGCAAAGTATAAAATGAATTATGGCTCCAGGCTCCCACTGAAATTCAGAGGCAAAACCTAAGACTGAATAACACTTCCAAACTACTGCTGAGAAGCATTAGCTATGCCATTTTTTAGATGGGCAGCATCCAGACACTGTTTATGTGGCCAGTGTCAAAGGTCTCCCAAGCTCTCCTTCTCCCTCTAAGAAACATTCCCTCATTCCTCAGTCTGTCTCTAAGGACCTTCCAGAGGCTCTAGAAGGTAAAATACCTGGCTTCCCATTCCTCCCTGGTCTAAAGTCCATCTGTTGAATTGCAGCTTTGATAAAGTAATTATGCTTCAGGTAGGCAATAAAATGTATTGTGGACTGGACCTTGATAAAGCTGTAGCCCAAAGGTCCTTTCTGGTTTTAGCTGCATTTTTCAGAGAAACCCAGCCCCTCCTTCATCATTTGTGCCTGACATCCTGCACTGCACTGGGAAGAAAGGGAAGAGTTAGAGCTGGGAACTGCCATGCTGATTACTGGGTCAGACTGACTGAAACTATGACACTCTCTGTTATTTCACACAGTCCACTCAGTCTTTGGCTGGCTGGCTGATGACAGAACATGTGCTGTGACTCTCCCAGGCCACTTAGCTGATTCCGACCCTATACCCTCCCTGCCTCCCACTACAAAATTCCACTTGGGTTAAGTCAATACTCACTCTTCCCTGTGGATTCCTGCCAGTCTTGGGTCCCAGGCAGGAGAGACGAAGACAGTGGTGGGGGAGGAGGGGGAGCAGGAGGGGTCTGGGAACCTGGTGGGGTACTCTCCTGGCTGAAGGTTGACAGGAGAGGCAACTGCTTCTCCTTGATAGAACTGGAAGCTGAGCCTGGCTTGGGCTTGGGAGGTGGAGGTGGTCTCTTCTCTTGTGGCAGGGGGGATGGCTGCAAGACAGCGAAACCATTTGACCCAGTCATTCTCTGCATTACTGTGCTCTGTCCTGACACTGCTGTTATAAATCATCCCTAGGGCAGCAGTCCAACTCTGGAAGCAAGTTCTGTATGAACAGGGATACCAGGACTTTTAAATCAACACACGGTCTGCAAACAGATGAAGATCAACCAAATCCAGGTGCAGAGAACCAAGTATTTGAGATTGAAGCCTCCAGTTGGGAAGGGGAAAAAAGACATTAACGGGCAAGACCTAGGTGCCAAATGTGGGGAACAGGAGTTCCTTGCTTCCAGATCATCCTTAAACATACCACAATAGTAATTGCTGCTCCAGAGCCTTTTCTTCAGGACCTCAAGTGACTTTACAGATTGGAGCCCAGTCTAGGACGGGCAGTGCCATGGTATGAGCTCACAGCTATCTAGTAACCCAACAAGAAATCACCTGGCTGCTACTGCACTACCAGGTAGCTCCCACCCTGTTGGAGATTGGATATACTCTGCTGAGCTCTTAAGGTGAACAGAGAGCGAAGAACTCACTGATTTGGAAGATGGGAGGTTCATCATTCCAAGCTTGGCCAGAGCCTCATTTTTGGGGTCGTTCTTCTTAATAAATGGCTTGGACACTCTTCTGCAAGAAAATGGGGAACACAGTCACAGGGGCTGCAAAGGGGTTGTGGCCACAATGGAGCCATGTGGCAGTGCTGGGATATAGCCCCACTCATCTCCTTCCTGCCCACGTGGGTGGATCCCACTGTCTCACCTGACAGGCTCGATAGGCTGGGGCTCAGGGGCTGGCCTGCTCTGGTACATTTTGATGATGTTGCGGATCTCCCGGCTAGGTGCAGGCCGTGACTCGGGTCCTGAAGGCTTCACTACAGGTGGCTCCTTCTTCGCTTTTGGTGTCTGCTTTTTTGGCTTTGGCTCAGGAGGTGGCAAAGGTGAAGCAGGAGCTATTGGGGATGACAGCTGTAATGAACAGACCGGCAAAGACGCAGGAGAAATCCCTTTATCTCATTTGAAGCTCCCTCTCTTTCACCCCTAGGCTGACTGGTCATGACCTTCCACTGCCTTGCTTTGGGATCGCAATTCCCAAAGCTCAGGCCTTTCTCTCTCTCTCCTCTCCTGCCAAGATGCAGATTCCCAGAAGAGCCAGATCCTTTCCTTCTCTGGCAATATCCTGGCTGGATGCTTCTGGAAAGTTCCTGCTTGTCAGCCTGCCTGGGTCTCCACTGCACAGCATCTTACCTGCCTCTGTTTTAGGGCTAGGCTTCTCTTCTTCCTTCTTCTCCTGCTCCTCTTCCTTTTCCTCCTGCTTTGGCTGGGGATTTGCTGGAGGGGTCCAAGTTTTGGAAGGAGGCCTCACTTTCTTCACTCGGATCTGTTGCTCTCCTGTATAGAAGGGGGGGGCCTGAGCTGGTTAAACCCACAGCCAAAACCTAGCACTAATGGCATAGTTCCCACCCTTGCATCAGTCAGCAGAAGCCTATGCTTTCTAGAGGCATAGGAGGGTGTGGCAGTCACAAGCACAAAGATTTCTAGAAAACTGGCAACACAACACCTCACAATCTGAATTGCAGGGCACTGAGCAGGCACCCAAAACTCCTGCTACACACAGCACCAGCAGCTCCTGCAGGGATTAGCTGTGTTCCAGACAGGAAGACAACACCTTTTTATGCCAGGGAGGCTGCAGAATAAGGTGTTATAATGAGTGAAATTCCCAAAGTGGTAGATGCTCACCTATCTTCTGAAAATATTCTCTTTTCTGCTGGAAGGTTTCTGGAGGATAGTCATCATCATCACTGTTGGAGAACTGGTCTTCCATGTAGTCATGAGCCTGCAAAGCAGTTCACAGCATGGTTAGTTAGTCCTAGCCAGCAGATACCTCCATACTGCCCTTAAGTTCAGAGGTGATCTTCCCTCGCCAAGTTCTGATCTAGAATTTCCCCCCATCTGGGATTGTCCCTAGAGATCAGTCTCTGACTCAAGGAATCATCAACCAAGTCCAGAGAAGGGGGAGTATGTTAGAGGCCCAAGACAGCTTGCTGGAAGATATAGAACTCGGAGTGATGGTTTTTCCTATGGAATAATTCAGATCAGCTGGGAATTAATTGGTCAACACTGAGGCCAAACATCCACAGAGCTAATGCCACCAAGGTTTGATCTTGTGTCTTAGAGACTCAGCAAGCAGAGTTTGAAAGTTCTCAGTGTCATAGGTAAGGATAGCTCTCTGCTCTCCTGTCTGCCAAACCACCGTCACACTGGAAGGGAAGCAGAGAAAATGCAAATCATGAAATTCAAACCAAATTCACCACCACTTTGTTTCTCATACCGGTTCATCTGCCTTAGCTGGCGGTTCTGGAGCCTTTGGTGGTGGTGCAGCATTCTGGCTGCTGGGAGGCTTCTTGGGTTTTGGGGAAGTGGCTGGGACTGGACCTGAGGCTGGAGCTGGAGCTTGTGGTTGACTTGAGACTGTTGGCCTTGAGTTCTCAAGAAGCTGTTGCCACTGCTGCTGTTGCTGCTGCTGTTGCTGCTGCTGGGAAATGCTCATGGCTTGAAGGGTCACCTGCTGGGCCTGGAGGAAGGAATAGCAATGTCCATGAGCTCTAGGCTACTCAAAACTGACAGTCATCAGTCAGGCTTTCACTGGTAATCACAGAACATCTACACAGTCCACTGCAAATTTCCCAGTGTTATGTACAAGGCACGCCCAGGGAGTCTGATCCCATCTAGCCAATTATGCAGAGCTCCTAATAACACCCTAAAGACTCAGCTACCAGTGAGATAGCCTGGGACCTCCATGCACTCACAAGGGTTTGTACTGAGAGCAGAACACTGCAGATCTGCATCTGTAGCAAATCCCAGCTTAAAAACACATGGTAATTACAGCTGAGGCTTCTTGGGGCCTGCTCTTGTTCCTGCTACTCACTCACCTACAGTGCCTCAGTGTCCCCGTGTACACAAAGGGGCAAAAAGGGGGTTCCGAGTTTTGCAGTCTTAAATAATCCCAACTTTATATAGCTAACCCCTAGCACATCAGCACAGGGTGCTACAGAGCAGGCTTAAGGCAGGAGGGGAGCATGGTTAACCTCTTCAAACCTCTTCACAGCACATACACCAGTGCATTGCTCTTCCCCAGTTCCTGGGCCCCTCCCAGCCAGGCCCTTCCACTCACCATGAGCATGGCTTGCTGGTTGATAAAAGCTTGCTGTTGTGCTGCTAACTGATTGGGATCTACAGCTGGAACCACAGGCTGGGGCATAGCCATGGCTGTGGAAGACACACAAGTCTGCAAAAGCCCACAGGCAATCATTCCTCAGTGTCTGAGCATCAGCCCAGAGCTGATTGTTGACTATGCACCCCATCTGACACTCAAATGCATAGGCTTCATTACGACACCCACCCTTCCATCCTCTTCCCCTGTATAGTTATTGAAACACTGTGTTATTACTTGGCATAGGTGCAATCCCACCAGACACTGGCATCATAGGCATGGCTGCTGGCATCCCAATCATCGAAGGCATGGGCTGGTAAGCTGATGCTTGAGTCATTCCAGAGAAGCCTAGAGGCAAAAGACCATATTCACAGTGCTTTTGGGGAATCGCAGATGAGGAAGCCCTGATCAATCCCGCAGAGCACATCACATAGGCTGGGTGCCCCTGGTTCTCTCCACATGCACCAGCAACAGGGATATGTGAATGGTTTATCTCTTCACACACAGCAGGACACAGCAAAACTGAGGTGGAAAAAGGAAACCAAAGAGAAATGTGTGGCCTGCCAGACTTTACAATAGCAGTACCCAGACCCTGCTTCTGCAGTCTGGCTTAGGACACCACCATCCTTCATGACTGAGCATATAAATAACTCCTGCCTGTGTATGATTACAGAGAAGGGTTTCTTTTGAGGAATGGGCAAAGATCCCTGGGACTACCACCTCCATATCAGTCTCTTTGCAGCAGGTAGCAAGAGTGAATGAACAATGAGCCCTGGCCTGGGTAGCATTGTGTACCACGTAAAGGAACTGTGGAGAGAAAGGAATTCCCCTGCCCTCAGCAGTCAAGTCCCACATGAGGCCATAAAAGAGAAATCCCACTGACGGCAAAGCCAGCAGAGCAAAGGACATGGGCATCAGTCTCAGCTAGGAGTGAGTCAGTACATAGCGCAAGTCTACTGAATCATGATTTCCTCCCCAGTGAGAATGGCCCAAGGATGCCATGGAGAGATCTTCATATTCCTCACTGATCTAAGTAGCCACATGAGTGACAAACTGGCCTCAGGCCTGTGATCTGTAATAGGGCTTGTTGTGCCCCTACAATGCCTCTACAATAGCCAAAAATAGTCCCAGTCTCAGTAATGATCTGAACAGGACATTCCCCACCTTTCTGAAACAGCTGGGTGTGTTCCTACACATGTAGATTTCTCAGTGCCATTAATATATTGGTGTTTGACTCCACCCTACTGAAAATACTTGAGTCTTAGCTCCACAGAAAGGAGGAAAAGTAAAGACACTAACCACACAAACCAGAACCTCTGCAGGGTTCAGACTTACTAACCCAAGGAATAGCTAGAGATGATGGGAAACTCTGTAAGGAAGCAATAAGAAAGATTAAAACCCTCCCCTGAGAAAGGCAGCAACTATTTTGTGAAAGCACAAGGTGAATAGAGGTGAATACAGGACTTACAAGTATGGGCCTAGGGAAGAGGTAGCCTGGATCAGAAGCAAGCTACCTGTTGCCTTGACCCCAAGACCAATTCGAGAGAGAAATTAAAAGCAGAACAAAGGTGATACCCTTACCTAGCACCTTCCCCAAAGCATCTCTCTCCCAGAACCTGGGAGTAAGGAGTGCAACTTCTGATGACCTACGCTAAAAACCAATGAGTCATGAATCAGCTGAGCCCATGCAATAATTAGCATTTAAGGGACTCCCTGATTTATGCTCACTGAAGCTTATGTAGCCCTGCAGGTATTCCCAGCTGTCCCCATCCCCTTACAGACCCGTAGAAGGAAAGATTCCTCTCTGTGTGGGTCCAATCTTCCCACCTCCTTTCATGCGTCCAGTCAGAATGTCCCTGTTCTCCATATCCTGCATCAAGAAAAAACAGTTATGTGAGCTCAGAGAGAGAGACTTCACAGAGGGAGAGCCATCCAAAGGCATATCTGAGCTGACCAGAGGCGGAGTGAATAGGCAGAGGCATGCTTGAGGGAGTCACAGGGACAGGAGAGCTGCAGCGAGAAAGTAGGAGGGAATATCAAGGGACTTACTGATAGTCTGGAGCCTTGATGCAGCACAGTGCTGAAGAGATCATCCACATAGTTATCCAAGCCTACAGGGGTCCTCAGGTCATCTCTGAAGCTTGGATCTAAAAGCAGAGAGAAGTCTGGTGACAAGGCAGGTAAGGAACATTCCCCTGCCTGCAGTCCCTATTAGACAGTCATGTTTTGGAGTGGAGCCCTTCCTTGCTTTACATCAAGAAGAATCACCTGTTTCCCCCTCTGCTCTGATTCCCTGGCTGGGGCCCATCTGGCCCTTCCCAGTGCCATCCACAGTTCTGGGCAAGAGCTTACCTGGATGGAGATTGTTGAATTCTGGAGGCAAATTAGGTGGTGGAAAGGTAGGGGCCCGGATGCCTGGAGCAGGAGGGATCCTGTTGAAGAGAAAAATGAGATGAGGACAGCACAGAGTGCTGAAAGAAAGACAAACCGCTGGGTCACAGGGCCACAAGTGGTGGAGCAGGAGGATTAGGTGACTTACAAATCCAGGTCAGAGCTCTGGAAGAAGCTTCTGTCCCTTTCAGGAGTGATGGGGTACTCAGCTGAGGACTGAGAGGAACTGCTGAGGTTGCTGGCCTCCTCCATCTCTCCAATGAGGTCCAGCACAAAGTCACAGCCCAGCAGGTCCTGCCATGTGTTGCCAGTAAACATGGAGATAGACCACCCTCGAGACTTCTTATCACAGCCCCTGGTAACAGGGAGAGGAAGGAGAGAAGAGGTGTTCAGGTAGGCATGTGAAAGGGAGAGAAAGGAAAACATTGCATTCGGTTTCTTCTTGCCTTGTCTATCATGGCTTAAGGGTGTGAAGAACTATTAAGCGCCCAGGGTCAGGGAAAAACTAGAATCACTCAGGATTTGTCCATTTTTTTTTTAAATCTTTCCTCTGAAACTGCTCTGATGGATCACAGCAGTGATTCCTCTGTTGCTAAAGAGGCCTGCAGTTCATGCAGACGGAAGGGTGAAGAAGAGAGCACAGGCTGGTGTGGGTAAGGAGTCCTATTCCACATCTGACCATATAAATTCTAGCCTGCAGCCTCGACCAGTCTGAACCTCAGAACTAGTGACAGCCTCTTTCCCACCCCCAGCTCTTCTCCCATCCTCTGGCAGTACCTTGCACTCAGGAGCCAGCCTGCATACTGCTCCCCAGTCATCCAAGACTCCACCTCAGCTGAGAACTTCTCCTCTAGCACAGAAAAGAAAGTCAGTACACACAGCCTCCCCAGCAACACCTAAGCTCTGCAGGACACAGGCAGAGCCCAGCTGCAAAGTCTTACACACTCCTGAGTGGGGGCCACAGAGGACTGAAAGCACATGGAGGGCTCCACATGAACACATTCACATCCAGAATAACTGTTTGGTGGCATAGGTTGGCATTTCCAACCTGACAGCTGAAAACCCTTGCAGTGTCCTGCTTCACTTGGGCCACCACTCCGCTCACCAAAGAGCCAAAGTAGGGATGTTCTGCATTCAATTCACAGAGCTTCTGATCACTCAAGAGGCAGCATAAGCCAATATTTGAGAAGGAAGGCAGGCAGAAAGTCCCTGCAACAAAGGCAGCAGTTGCTGCTTCATGGGCTGTGCAGTAATGGATGACAGGAAAACCAGACCCATAGATATGCACAGGCAGAACAGCCCTCTGTTGAGATGGGCCCAAAACCAGAAGAATCTCATCCCTCAGCCAGAGTAGCAGGTCTCATCAGGCCCAGACTTTGGGAGGTTTGGGTTTAGACTCAGATGCTTGTATCCCCCATGGCTATACCAGCCAGAAGAAATCAGTGTTCTGATCCCTCTTTACTAAGCAGAGGGAAGTATTTTCTGAATGCTTATTTCTGCACTGGAAAAGTCCTTAGGGAATAGAATATAGCAGAAGGGCAGAAGCACAAGTTACCATTAAAAGTATGAACATCCAGCACCATCTTTCCTCTCCTCTGGTTTGCAGTCCACTCCAGCTGAGTGGGAGGGTAGGCCCGAGAGAACGTAGAGTCTATCTCAGTGTGCTGTGCTGCTGTCAAGATCTTGCGCTGGCAAACAGCATTGTAGCCCTCCATGCCATGATCTGACACAAATCTAGGAAAAGGCAACTGCATTTAGCACACTGCTCATCTCCTTTAACCTTAAGGAAAGTGTAGCTAGACCTTTTCTCCTCCTTACTTCAGCAACGGCTTCTCCAGTGCTGGTGAAGGGGCAAAGCAGCTCAGCAAAGTTGCCATCAGGACCCAAGCTCGCTGGCTGTGCTCCATGTCTGGGTTTTTCCATGTCTGGGCAACCACCTGACTGAAGATTTCGTTGCGCAGAGCCACATTATTCAAACCTCTCCCAGCAATGTAGTTGCCCAGAAGTACCTCCTGCCAGCCATGGAGATTCTTGTCACCAATGAACCGCAAAATCTAGAAGCATCCGGGGGGGGGGGAAAGAGAGAGAGCTGTATCTGTAACCCTCTGTCCCAAATGGTGTTGTAAGGTGACAACCTGGGTTGTAGATACCAGGGTGTTTGTGAGCCTAAGAAGAGTAGCCAACACTAAGATAGGGATCTATTCTCAGGTTTTGTGCACCACCTAAGTTCTGGGGAATTTGGGAAGCAATGTTCATAGAGATTGGACCCTGACTAAAAGTCAGGATGACTTCACCCTCTTCTTAGTTATGCCTCTGCTCAGATACACAAGCAAGTTACCGTAGGCTATTTGTTACTGTGTCTGAGCCCACAGGCTGCCTAGCTGTAAAAAATATGTAAAGGAAATTGATGCTTAGCTGATCTTTGTGAAAAGCTCAGAGCACCAGACATGAGGAAATACTAACACCTGAAAACTGAATGTTAAAAAGACTTTGGTGTAGTTAATATTATACCAAGCAGTATGAGATGTGGTATCTCAATAAACTCCCTTAAGCAATGATTTAGCTTCTTGGCTATGCATATCAACATCTTTGATGCTTTTGTAATCTGTATTTCTCCCTTTTAGGTACAGAATAATTTCTTTCAGCCTCTACACTTCAATATGTCATTAGATGAAAATGTTTCTAAAATGTGCCATGGACAGCTTTGGAAAGAACATTTATGAGAGATGGCCTATTTTTTGTCTCAGAGAACAGCACTTCTTAGAATGGTTAATGGTAGTAAGCACGTCAGAGATTCACTGAGAAAAACAGGAGATGGTGGTTGTTTAGTTATTACAGCCTTTGCCAAAGAAATAGCTATTTTTTTTTTATTAGCAATGGAGAAAAATTGTCTTTGATCTTCAGGAAAAATAATAGTAGTCTGCTTAAACACAATCCTATTCACAAGATTTTATTGAATCTTATGCTCTTCTAGAATTGGGATCATTAGGACAAAACAAGAGACTGGTTTTAGGTATTACCTTTCCTAATGGGCTTATTTTAATTACATGTAATTCTCAAAAGGATTACCAGATTTACTTAGAAATTATCTGAAGTTTCATTCTATTTTAGAGAGTCAACATTACCATTTTTAAGAAGAAATTTATGTTTCACATCCACAGAGATGAAATAACACCATTCTCTTATGCAAACACTACAGAATTAGAGTGTCGCTCCAGGTGTAGTTTTCTCGATCACAAAGTCCCTGCCTTTTTCCAGCCTTTATACAACAGTTCACTGTCCCCTATTGTGTACTGGCACAACTGTATGCCTGAGATACAGTCAATATATTTAGTACAAACCACATCATGGAAAAGATCTGGGTTAAATTAAACTTTTTTGTGATCAACAGATAACAATAAGTGCTTGAGAAGACAGATATCCCTTATACTGTCATTGCTACTGAATCTGGAATATTGGGAAACTAAGGCTTAGCAGTCTAATTCCTATATGTCCTGCCAAATTCTGAGGCTACATCACCAGGCAATTCACTTTGATCCCATTAGTCTATGGCTGGTCTATACCTCACCAAGAACACAGCAATGCTAAGGGGCTGCATGTGATCTCTGCCAGACTGCTCCAGTGCCTAGAAGGAGCAATTTATTCTGCTCTCCTAACACGCCATGTATTGTAAGAACAGTAACCACCACCAGCATCTTGTTGTATAACGGCAATCTATTATAGCCCTTGACCTATTCTTCAACAAGGCCCTGGTCAAGAAAGATGTCTCTTACCAGTTTGTTGATCTCAAGTGCACTCTCCTGGTATTCAGCATCCAGATGGGTTAAGGGGTGCTGCAGAGGCTGACCAGGGGCAGGGAAATATGTTTTCTACAAAGAAACAAAAGGACACAAACATAGAGTTTGTTCCTGGTATTACTAGAACTAGTGTGTCTCCCCAGTAGGGAAGCAATTAAGAGATATAAAAAGATTCCCACCTGGAATTGTGACTTAATGAAGGAGGAGAAAGGATAGCTGTTGATGTTGGGTGGGAGGGAAAGGTCGTCTTTGACCTTGACTTCTGGAGGCAATGCCTCAGTTATCTGGTTGGCCTGTTCTCGGTACTGACCTGTAAGAGAAAGAAGTCTTGCATTATAGGAGTTGGAAATGCTTCCAGAATACATCCGATTCACAGTGTAACACATGGCTAACATGCATCTAACCTTCCCTGAGCAGCTATACCAGCCCCCTGGCTCCAGGGGCACGCAGTCCACCCCTGCTGCCCTAAACCCCCAAGCAGGCACATCCTCACTTCCTTGAGACCACAAGGCCTAACTTCAGGAGAGAGTTTTTACAGCTCTGATCTTTCAGACTCTCATCCCTGGGGAACAAACACCCAGAGGGCAGTCAGCACCTGGAGTTTCAATTCTGTTATGCAGAGTTTACAAGACAGGAAACACTGAGCCTGTGCAGAGATACTGCTGACAACTGTTCAGTCAATGAGTAAATGAGAGGTCTTCACGATGAGGCACCAGATGATGGATTGCTCACAGACAATAGAGGAGCAAACATCTTCCTAAATGAAGAGATTTCTCAATGCAGCGCAGCTTCTGTGCATTCCTCTATCTCTAGACCATGTCCCTGGATGCTCTCCTCCTCCCTGTTTACAACCCATCAGCTTTCATTTTCAGCAGTTACAGTGCAGTTTGTCCCCTGAGCCCCTCTAGGTAACATTGCTCACTAGACCAGGTGATAGTCCCTAGAGGTGTATGCCATGAAGTATGAGGTATCTGGGAATCGAGGACAGTCTGCTCCAATTCACAAGATCCTTTTGCCTGACTGTATCTTTTACTGTACTATACAGAAGGCCAAAGATACAGCTGTCATTCTGTTAGATGCTATACCAACATAAAGAGGCAAATCCTCTCAACCTATTTCAACTTATTACAGAGGAAACAATACTGCAAATAACTTAATGTTCAAGATCAGGTCAACAACTTGGGAAATTATTTCAGTTAGTGGTATTTTGGTGATTTGAAAACAAAACAAAGCAAAAAAATTTCCATCCCAAGCAAAACATTTCGCTTAATTGTTATATTGTTAGTTCCTGAAGCTGTTACATTGTTTCTATCTACTTCTATTTTAAAAGAAGTAATTACTTTTGAACAAGTAATTTTAAATGAAAACCCCCAAATATTTCTTTGAAAGTGCCAAAATTGCAGTTTTGACTTCTTCACCTTCAATTTCGTTACAAATTTTTGAGTAGTAAAAGATAGGTTTCAGTTCTCACAACCCAGATATCCAGCTCTGCAAGACACCTGGGTTCATTAAACAGTTTGCTGTCACACAACTTTGACCAAAGTTTTGCACCATCACTATCATCAGTTCTATCAGCACAGTTCAAAAAACGAGCTGAAAATGTAACAAAGATACTGAATTTTAATCTGGTGTTCTGCCCACTGACCCAAGTCACTTTTCCGCCCTGTTGTGTTGGGAAACAATATACGTGACACCATTTGCCTTTATCATATTTACACTGCGGTAATAATACATCAAATGTAACCCAAGTGAGCGACAGCAGGTAGAACAAGCACGTACTTAAACTGCTAGAAAACAAGGAAATAAACAGTAAAGTAAAAGAGTGCAGGAAAGAGAGGGAAGGAGGGAGGATTTCTTACCTTCAGCTAACTGCAGGAGGGCAGCAAGGTCTGCAGGGATCTCCAGCAGTCCCACATCCTGTGGAGAGAGTGAGCAAGTCAGTCACTGGGGTCCCAGAAGTGAAACAACATATAAACCCTGAACTGTTCTGCTAAAACCAGGTAAAGCTGCCTTTGAGAAGCTGGCCAGAACAAGGACTAAGCATCTGAGCAAAACCAGTAATTTCTGCCTATGCAACATTCAGAAGCAATACAAATAGGGAAGTATCATATTAGCACAGGTATATGACATGGGTCAGCAAATGAGGGAAAGGTGAGTAATTCCTAAAAAAATCAACTGCCATGGGGGGAGAGTGACAGGAAAGTTGACTTTCTTTGACTCATCTCATTACTAACAAGACTGGCATTTTATACAGAAGAGATTGCGGTTGAAAGGTAAGGGCCGTTTCCTCCTACTCCTTTTTCTGCCATTTTTATTTTTCAGTATCCAAGAGTGCTACAGCATAAATAAAAATAGACCTGATTCTGATCTTTGATGCACACCACTATTTTGCAGGTTCCTAAGGAAGCTCAGATCTCTATGTGGGTAATTCAGATGAGAATCTGGCCAATAAGCCTTGATTTTTCGCTGTTTTGCACCTTGCATGATGCATGCATTTGTGCAAGGTTGGAAGTAAATGGGCCAATGCAACACAGTGTATCAGCATCGATGTCTGCATATAATGTCAGTTCAGGGTATTTCAGACAGGACTACTCAGATTAAGACACTATGAAACCAAGCCAAAGGCACAAAGCCTGAGCTTTTGGGTTTTTTGTTTTTTTTAAGATCTGCCTAGTAAAGCCTGTACTCACCAGCATACTGACATCTCTCTCCACATAAACTCTCAGCAATGCTTAAAGACAGATTCACAGCTTTTTTGATCAGTTTGATTTTGCTCATAAGAAGATACTTGACTTTAAATCTAGTTTTTCAATGGCATATTCAGGAATTGGACTGTGAAATGCCACAGTCCTGGATCCACACCTGAGGAAGCAGGTGATATTGCAAGAGCACCCAGTGCTAAGTATTCCTGTTGTTGTTACTGACAAACCTGTGCAACTTTGTGGAGGGTGTCAATTCAGATTTCCTTGCTACACACATCATAGCAAATGTATGCCTGGTCTAAACATATAAATAATGACATTAGTTAGCAGTGTTACTTATAGTCGTTGATACAGGTTAAACTTGTTACGAAGCCTTTAATACCTCCCATCCTCTACATCTTCCACAAATATATTTGTGCAGAACTGTTTCATTCCAACCTTTCACAACAGAACATGATTATCAAAAATTGTCTTCCTCCCAACTCCAAAGAATAGCTCCAGTGCTGTGAACAAATACAGTACCCTGCCTCAGGACCACTTTATGGTGCTTGACTATGCCCAGAGATTGGGAAACACCAAACTAATGAGATAGTTATGTATCAGAAGGCTCTTTATACCAGGCTAAACTCCTTTCTTGCTGCTAGGTTTCCAGTGTACATGTGGGCTCTGTACACTCTCCAGATGTTTTGCTGTTGCCCAGCAAACCTGGGCTGAGGAGGCATAGGGGAGGGAGAACACCCTGAAAGCCTGGCTTGTTTTATATCAGACTCTCCCAGACTGTTTGACAACTTACCATTCCTTGGATGGGACTGTTCTCTGTGTCACCACTGTCCGGGGACCTCCTTCTTCGTTTCCCTTCCTCTAATTCCTGCTGTTAGTAGATGAAAGGGGGATGGGAGGTGGGAAAAGATGTATATGAGGTCACTTCCAGCTACTTCTGGGGGCAGACCCCATGGATGGGCAGGAGCTGGTGTCCTGCTCCAGCAGATCAAATGACAGAACAGCTGCAGACCCTTCTTGGGACTCAACACAGTGTATTGGGAAGGGGATGCCCAGGCAGAGCCGTTAACTCTGCTGAAACACCACCTGCCCTGCACAGCACAACTCAACAGCAAGACCCTTCACCACCTGCCCAGCATCCCTGCCACACCTTTCCTCCCTTGCCTAGCATTTGATGTGTCTCAAGACAAAAGCACACAGAAGCTGTCAGAAACATTCATCTGCCTCCTCCAGCACCAAAGAATATGGTAAGAGCCTGAACATGGACAGATGAACTTGTCCGTGGAGAGGGACCCCTTTAGAGGGGGTGGGAGGAATACCAAAAGCCAACTCCCTTGCAGCCCTTTCCCATCCATTCTATTGTTCCCCGGCCTCACCACTCACCTGACTCCTACTCCGAAGATGGAAAAGGAGGGTCTCTGTCTCTCTCTCTCCTGCTTGTCTATGTTGCAGTATGGTGTGACTAGATGGGAGGTTATGAGGGTTGGGCTGAGAAAGACATTAGGCAGGCTAAAGTCCAAAGGGCAGGGCTGTGGGGTGGGGGAAAGGAGGAACTTTGCAGCAGGTGAACTTTGAGACCTTTATTGTTGTTATTGCATGTACAGAGACCTCAGCAAGCAAATATTGGAGGACCAGAAACAAATTCAGAAGGGCTGTGCTGTTGTGGTTACCTGGGAGAAAGAAAGGCTGGATCCTGTCCAAGTAGGAAGGGACAGGAAAAGGAACAGAAACACACACCGTTCTGGGCACAGCATGGCAGAAGGAACCTCTGCAGTCTTACAAGAACAACACTGACCTTAACCCTCTGCCCCATCTTTGCTAGTCATGCCAGCAGCTGTACTGGGTCCCTCCCTCGTGAAGCTAACAGCTATAGGGATGTTAGTTGCTACTCTAAGGACAAGTGGTCTGATTTCCTGTTTTCAATTTTCTTTTTAATAGCTGATGCAAAATACATCCAACCCATTTGATAGAACCATGGCGCTCTCCTGCACACAATTTTCCATCTTCTCAAACCACTGCCATCCTGTTCTCACTCCAACTGTGGGCCCAGCTGATTTGTGAAAGGCCAAGGACTTCTGCAGCCTGAGGCAGCTGCAAGTGGTCAGGGAAGCATCACTGTGGACTGAAAAAACCTTGCATTTCAGTCAGTGTCTGGGAAAACACCAGAAATTGAACTGGAGAACTAGAAGACCAGGATGAATGATTCCTTATAGCTTGAGCAGAACAGCAGCTTTTGAGGCCACAGATGGAATAAGCTCATGTCTTGTGTGGGGCAACCTCGAAAATCTCATAAACACAGACATACGAATCGGCTGCATTTGTACTACCTTTGCCAATTCTGAATTTCTTCTAGGGAGACAAGGCTCCAGTCTCTGTGGTTCCCTCTTTTGACTACATTTACATCAGCCAGAGAGTGAAGGACACCTCAGTGGATCATTGCCAAGAAACTTTCTAAAGCCATCCCTGCTCTAGCCTCACCCAGTCACCCACCAGCTCTCTCTGCTTAGAGCAGAAAGAGCTCCTGCAGTACACCTGGTCCTGAGAAGAGTGTCATTACCTGGCAGTGCTTCCTCCTTTGAATCAAAGGTCTGGAGATTAAAATCATGGTATTAAATTGCATCAAAGTCTTCTTCAGCCTTCTGTAACGCTTCCTAGAGGGATGTGAAAAGAGAAGAATTGCCAGTGAGGGAAACTTCAACAAAATTTAGGCAGACTGTGGACTCAATTTGAGGGTACAGGCCAAACAGAACATTAATACAGTCAGCCAGTCTGGATTTGGACTTACTGTGTTAAGCCTGGTCCTCTCTTAGATGTTTTCCCTACATTCTTTACTCTAGCTATGACAATATCAGCCTTAGCACAGGCAAGTTACTGTAACTGTTTTGACAGCAGCTGTATTTCCCCCGAAACCTCTGCTTAATATTGGGAACCAGGCTGGGAAGTCCCCTCCTCCACCTTATTGGAAAGTAACAGGATGCCCCCCTGCAGACCAGGCCAGGAGCCAACATGAGGAGGGGCCTGGCCAGGCACATCCCCACCTTGCTGTCCTAGGCAAGGACAAAGGGCTGTACCTTGCCTGGCCTTTGACTCCTGACCTTGCCTGGTAACCTCGGAAGTGAGCCTGAATGATTATGACTTTCTCCTGGAGGACATGGAGGCGTCTGCGGCGAAGGAGGCATCGGAAGTTCCTTTGCAGAGTAACAACGGCCCAGCTCTGCCTCTGGTTCCGTCGTCTCTCCAGAAGCTGCCTAGCCTTCTCCTTCAGAAAGACCTGGTCAAAGGGAATAGCTGCTGACCCACAAGGAAAGCTGCCAGCTTCTCTAAGAATTGATCAATAATAAAAGCTGCTGGTTTCTCTCTTTATAGCCTTGAAGGCCCCCTGCTAAGGAAACTGCACTGCCTTAATTGGGGAGGGCAGGAGGTGCAGGTGCAGGTGACAGAGATGGATGCATTTGTGGAGGACAGGGAATCACGGAGTGATGAAGGTTAGTAGGCAGGAAAGATAGAAGCCCAGATCTCCTTCAAGGATTGCTGGGTAGACAAAGGAGTTGGCCACGCTACTACAACAGCCTGGAGCCAGAGTGTCCCATTTCTTTATCTGAAATGCTAAAAATCCCTCCATCATACTTGAGACAAGAGGTAAAGCAAAAAGGAGGTGAAGGCATGCAATGTTTTCCCTCTTTGGGCAGGGAGCCGAGCTGCTCTCTGTCTGTTGACAGCCAGCAAATAGATGGCTGGTCCTGTGCAATTAAGATGGGATTCTCTATAGGCATCACCTTTGTTACTCCAATCTGATAGAGATCTGAGGGGCTCCCCACCACATGAGACAGCACTGCCACACAGACTTCTCTCTCCTCTAAGCAGTTGTGCCTTTGCCCAGCCAGGAGACCATACCTGGAAGATGAGATGTTGATATGACAAAAGCCAGAGCTGTAACTGGAGTCCTCAGAGAAGAACAAATCACAATGTGCTGACAAGTTCATCCAGGCTTTGAGTGGCTGGGGAATCCCAAGTACACCACTGTACCTGCCTAGGAAGTTCTGGAATGGAAGACGGACTGGGTATCCCTCCTTTCTAATGTGGATAGCCTCCAGTATCCCAGAATGTCGCAGCTGACAAGTGACATACTCCACATCAAAGATATTTGACAGCTGTGAATATAAGGCAGAAGAAAAATGTAAAACAAGAAATAAAGAAAGAAAAAATAAAGAAGACAGAAGGGAGAGATTTTAGAAAGGGTCTCCTTCTATTGTCCTGTCCTTGAGTTAGATCTTGCCATGGTCTGTGGGCGATGGAACACAAAACTCAACACATCCTTTGGTGTCCAACTGACACTGGTTTCTTATTATCCAGCATATGATCTGCTCATATGGCCACAGGGAAGTGTGAGAGACAGAGAAAGGGGAAGAAAAGTTTCAAGCTATCAAATGAAGCAAAAAAGTCCAAATCCCAACTGTGAAACGAGAGCTGCTGGAAAGAAGTAGACTTCAAGGAACTGAGGGACTCCATAAGGAGGTCAGGGTGCTGCCTTACCTTTTTGGGATTAGGGGTGATGCACCGAATGAAGAAGGCATGGCTCCTACAAAACAGAAGGAAGAACTTTTGATCATCCTCTTCTCTGTGCTGACCTGGGAAGACTTTACACTCTTCTGGGTGCAGCAATCAGCCCAATGCAGGGACGGCACTAAAACAGTATCTCTCACCTTCTCAGCTTGGCTGTGAGGTCCTGCAAAGACTGCTGGAATTTGGACACCAGTGTGGAGGCCTGAGGCTTGAGCCCTTTGCCTCTGGCCCCCAGCTCCCTTTGCTGACTATAGGCAGCTTTAGCCTTCTGGAAAATGTGAGACACCACCTGCAAAAGCAAAGAAATGACCAAAGCCCCCTGAACTATATGGAAAGAACAATCTCTTCTACCTGAAACTGGGGGGGTCATTCTCCCTTGCCCCTAGCAGTACCAGGAACCCGGCTGCTTCCTCAGGCAGTCTGTGCATTTTATATATAAAATGCACCAATTGCAGGCAAAGACCACTTGATCAATTCCCAAGTGTCCTTCAGTAGAACAAAACTCCTCACAGTTTCTCCAGGTTCTCTGACACCTGACCAGGATCTTTCTGCTTCTCACATGAAAGCAATGAGTAGCTTGTTAGGTGTCTGCAATATAGATCTTCATCATGTACCTTGAGGCGGCTCTGAGAGAAGATATCCAGCACCTGTGGACACAGCTGGTCACGGTTTTTACTAAGAAACTTGTGGACCTGCAGAGGCAAAGTCTGATTTAATGCACCATTCAGATCGCCAACCAGACAAGCAAAAATCCCTCTTACACTAACTAACTTGGGGCAGACAGCTGGAGAGGTGGAACAAGGGGAAAGCCCTAGAGAATGAAGCTTGCTGTTCCTGCTGCCACCAGGAGGGGAGGGGACGATGACTTCTGCTTTTAGGAGGGATTGCTCCTTTCCCCCTTCACATTGCCCAGCAGGCTTTGACCCCTCCCTTTTTTTCAGCAGCAACAGCTTTCCTGGATTTCCAGGGCTCTGAGACAAGCAGTGTAGGCTGTTGTGTACGTGAGACCGTTACGTATTTTGCTTCTGCCCAGAGGCAGCTTAGCTGCTCTCCTAATAAGAATCTCCTCATTTCTGAAAAACTGTTGCTCTAGAGGGATGTGCAGTTACAAAGAGAGGGCTTTGTTCTCTGCACTTGCAGCTGGTCCTTCAGGACATCCACAGCATGCTTCCAAGCTTGCCTATTGCTCCAACTGCTCAGAGCCCCCTGCCAGCTCACCTGATAGGTGACAGGGCCTGCATAGTGCTTCACAGTGAAGACTGGCAAAGGCAACTTGGGCTTGGTGTACCAAGGGCTGTTTCCATGGTGGTAATGACACTTCTGGAGGAAGGTGTGGTCAGTGGCCTGTAAAGGAGATGGCAAACATGTTTCCTGCTGCTGGAACATATTCAGTAGGTTGAAAAGCTGCTGTTAAACCAAAGGTAAAAACATCTAATACTTGAGCGAACACAGTCCCTGTTCAATCTGTAGAACTGCCTCAACATAATCATCCTGTGAAAGGGATCGCATAAGAGGATAAGAGCTTCTCACCTGAGTCAGTGAAGTCTGGTCATCCAGGATACACAAGATGCCATGGGGTTTTGCAGCAATGAAATCTAGGCATGACTCGCTGTACATCTTGGAAATAGGAATCCAAGCTAACTGCTCTTGGCTATATTCCTCCTACATGTTAAAGACCAACCAGTCAAATCCAGCCATGCAAACAAGAACAAATGGAGGGAGTTAACAAAGGGATTTGGTTTATTCATCAGGAAGTTAGTGTTTCACTGTTGTTAGGAACTTGCCTAGAAATATCTGGTTTTGTCTTATGAAACTTCTTCTAAAGCCACTAATGATTTTCCTTATTTAAGAGAGGAAGGCTGCTAAGCAGGGTGATAAAGTGAACTATAAAAGGCAGCAAGGCTGATAAATACACTTTCATCTCCAGGACATCAGTAGTACATAAAATGCTACAATGAATCCACCAAACAGCTTGAAAAGTACCAACTGAGGTCTGGAATCCTTGATCCTCACTAATTCACTTATAAAATCTGTAAAAGGCAGCAAGGCACTAACAAACTCCCCTTCCCTTAGTTTACTACAAAAGTAGTAAAAGATACTAAATAGCCAGCTCTATGTGCTAGGATTCCACAGGTACTGCTTAAGAGGGCCAGGTCTATTCAGCTTCCTGCTTCCCCGCTAAAGGATACTCTCCAGCTGAGACTGCCTCGTCTCATTCCCTATATGCTGCCTTTTACCTGCTGGCACAAGTTCCATTTACCTCTTCTTGGGCAATGACAGTCTGGCTGAAAAAATGCTGGAGATGCTCATTGGCAAAGTTGATGCAGAGTTGCTCTAAACTGTTCACACCTAGATCCTGCAAAGACAAAAAGGCATCATCATTTCCAACTCAGAGCCCTCCCAGGAGGCTGTGTCTTCTTGTGAATAATGCACAGCACCAGATGGTGCTGATCTGAGCTGCTGGTTCAGGCAGCTTGTTCTGATCAGTAAGTGAACCTAAGAAATTCAAATCATCTTATGTCTGTTTTGCAAGCTCTCAGCCTCATTTATTGACTAGGCTGAACAGCAAGAGGCAAGATAAGCTGTGAAGGAGCAGAAAGAAGAAGAGGTATACTCTTGGATGCACACCCCTACCTGGACATGCTCCATTGTTTTCAACATTCGTCAGAACACACAGATTTTAACAGGAATCCTAAGTATAAAACTCACAGGCCTCGATGAACATGTATCGCTCTAAGCCACTGCTCTGCCTTTTTTTTTTACTTACCACAAGTCTGGGAAGCCCCCAGAAGCTCACTGGGGTTGACATGTGGGTGTATACCTGCCACAAGGGTAGCGATTCCTGACCCAGAACTCTAGATGCTACCCTAACCTCAATTTCAAAAAGTAACACCTTGCAGAGCCTTTGCTTACAAAATTATCTGCATTTCTCCTATCCCTGGCCTGATCCAAAGCCTAGTGGATCAGGAAGGATCTCTTCAGAAACTTCAGTGGATTTTGGACTTGTCCCTATTCAGGCTGGGAACAACAGAAAAACAGAATATGCTGAAGCATGTGAAAAGAAATCAATTGTAAAAGATATAGTTAATATATTCCCAGCTTTATCCAAGTCTTTAGGAACAAATGGGAACAGTTAGATTAAACTACATTAAAAATGCTTTTCTTACTTCTGTTAGTAATAGTGCCAGGAATAATTAAAATGTGATTCATTAAGAATTAGCTCATTCAGCTCACCTCATCAATACAGCAAATTTATACTAAGTATTTTTCTGGGTTTGTTCCATCAAAACACACTGATGAGTGATCTGGCTCCCCAAGCCGCTGCTGAGCAGCAGAACACAGGCTGCAGGGAAAGGACTCTGAGCTGCTTTTTACATGAATTTGTGTATAAGTGAACATTCTAAGAAACTTCTGGGGGTTTTGTCAAACAATCGAACCATGGAGTTAAAATCCCCATGTGTCCTTTCAACACCACACATAACTTGGTTTCTAAACTCCAGTGCACTTGCTGAAAAGACAGTTTTGATTTGTATTTAATACAGCATATGAGCTAATTCAATGGGATGAGTTGGCTGAAAGTGCTGGTTTTGTTCTGATTTAAAATCAAATAATTTTCCTCTTCCTTAGAATGACAGAACCAAAGCTAGCTATGTGCACCATCTATGCAGCACCATACTGGTCAGTTCATGCAAAGGTATCAAACATGCAAGGCTGACGTGGTGGGAGCACCAGAAACCACTCTATTTGAGACAAGGTTGTTAACTGCCTATGGTTGTTAGGTCTCCACTTACACACCAATACTACTTGCAATCCACCCAGTCCTATGTACCTTCAGATTCTACCTGTGCCACACAGTTATGGAAGACTATGGGCTCCTCCAGATAGCAATTCATAACAAGACTCTATAGAAAAAGCGTTAAATCATACCTTGAGGGAGCATTTCTCTACTGCCCTAAAAAAAAAGTACCCCCCTGAACACAGATGTTTACATTACATGGTACAATTACTATCTCCTTTCTGGAAAAAAAAAAAAAAAAAAAAAAAAAAAAAAAACCAAAACCAAAAAGAAAACCCACCCATCAGATACCCTCCCATTTCTGGCAGTGACTGAGGACAATCAGCACATGCACTTGCAGCCCAGACAATATCAAAGAATAGGAAAAGCAACCTCAAAACCATGTATGTCCACAATGCCCACAGCACAGTCTGATTCCCAGGGAGCCAACCACTCATTGATTCTCAGCAGCAGCCAGTCAAAAAGCAGGTAATACAAAGTCTTGGCAATGGAGTCCCTGAGTAGGGGAGTAAAACCAGTTACTGCAAAGGCAACATCCTTGGGTGCATCTCACCAATCCAGACAACAACAGCAGAAGTCACCTGGCCTCGATGGCTCCTTCTACAGACAGAGGGGTGATGATCCGATCATAAGATGTCACCTGGATACATAAAGACCTGGAATTTACTGTTATTATCTCCTAAATACCCTTTTTTTTTAAAATCCACAGGGAAGTCAGCCTGGTTAATAAATGGATTTTTTTCTATTTGGCCTGATAATTTACCCAGGTATCAAAGGAAAGATTAAAACCAGAATTTTTCTGCCACATTTCAGGGTGGGAGTCAGCTGGCCAAAGTGTTAAGCCTGAAGCCACCTTGTCAGAAAAGAGCCCTCCTAGATGTGAATTCTGCCATCTTTACAGAGCTGCCTTAAGGGGTTCAGCCCATCCTCATTACTGATCTAGCACAGCAACCATTTTACTCCTGCTGTTACATCCCAGACTTTGGACCTTCTCAGGTGGTGGCCCTTCTGCTTACAGAGCACTGGGCTAGGGTATTCCATGCTTCAGGATGAATGAGAAATAACCAGAAAGGTACTCACAGTGACACGGTGAGTGACAGCACTTTGCAGAAAATCTGCTGACACATGCAACAAATTGGCCACAATCTGAATCTCAGTGTCATTGGCAATGGCTGCATGTTCATAGGATTCTTCCTAAATAGTGGAGAAAAACAACAGATTCAACTATGGATGGGATATTAGGTTCCACTAGTATTAATGTTCTCAATAGCACCTCAGCTGCACAGAGCTGGTCGCAGCCTGGGCAAAACACCAGCAGCTAGGTTCATTTTGGGTCCTTCAAAGAGCACCCAAGCTCTAATTACGTTTGGTTGCCTCCCATCTTCTGTCCTTGCCTAGGTCAGTCTAGAGCCTAATATCAAAAGAACAGAATAGTCTTCAAAGGATATAATCTTCAGTCAAGAATAATGTCCCTGGTCCCATCACATGGGATAACAGCAATGTTCAGCACAAATAGCCCATTCCCAAGCTGCCAAGGATTACTGTACCTCATAGGAGGTAAAGCAGATATTCCCTAGTTGCAGAATGGCAGCCAGGACAGCCCAGGTGGAGGTCAGCTGATCTTCCGAGAGGCTGATTCTCTCCAGAGCTTGCACCAAGACCAGAAAGTCCTGACTGTCCTCCTTCCCCAGGATGTCACAGGCTCTGCCCTGAGAGAATAGGGTCAGATAATCGTGGTCAGCCCATTTTGCCCCAGGCTGGAGCTGAGCTACCAGCAGCAATCTTCAGAGAAGTAGTTCAATGTTTTAAGGACTGGAGGAATCTGAAAAAAAAGACCAAAGACACCACTAGTGGGAGCTCAGCATTCATGACAGACCAGTCTCTTTTCTCTCTGGAGTTTCTGAGAGCAAGATCTTTCTTGCCCACACATGCTAAATTTTTACTATGGCTCCAATATAGGCACTCTAGCTACCCCTTGCCCACTGCTGGAGGGCAGCTTGAGAAAAGAAGGGAAGCCAGAATCTACTCCCAAATAAATAACGTCAGAGTTGCTACCCCAAATGGTACCCAGAACCCAATGTATCAAAGCAAATGGGTTTCTGTGCACCTAGAGAGCCATCCTGGGTTATAGTCTCACTTGCGTCTGCCACAGAGCTTAGCTATAACATGGGCATATCGCTTTTACTCTTCTTGTGCTTTTCTGTACAAGACGACACTCTTAACAACCGTCTGTGACCCTAAAGTTCACAGAAATCCTGGGCCAAGGCGATCAATCCGTAGAACCTGCTTGCATAAAAAGACATTCTTCAACAAAAGTTTCCAGCTGATTGCCAGCCAGATTCAGATGAGGACAAGAATGAGGCCGAGGCAGCCCTTGGGCTGCTTCTTGCCAAGACCAAGATCCAAGAGAGCTTTTGCCAGTCTCTGCTAACTTCTTTATGCATAATCTGATCTTTTTCCCTTTTCTTCTCTGCAGCAAGATGAGACACTCCTGTTAGATACCACCTTGAAGAGTTTAGTTTACAATACAGAACCTTTGCCAACTAGGAACATCATCCCTTTAAGGGATGGGCCCTTAATTGCCCTCCATCCCTGAGTCATTAATGGTACTTGTCCATTCCTTGCCTGAAGGAAAGATGATAGCAATCATTCGTCAAGGATTCCTCACATGACCACAGCTGCTGTAAAGAGTTTGCTCACCTGGCAAAGCTGACACACACAGCTGAAATGGGAAAGATACTTGCTATTGCTGTGAACTCCTTGAGTATGGAAAACATTCTTAAACAAAAGAAACTGTGCTCCAACGTGATGGCTTGCCATAAGTCTGGCAAACAATTTTCCAATTTAAAGAGATTGTAATTAGCAGTACATTTCAGTGGTTTAAAATTTCCACCCATTGACTCAGTCAATGAAGCAAGTGTTTTGCCGAAGGTAGAAAGAAATATCCCCTGATCTTTTCAGTCTCACAATAAATTGCAAATGCAAGGAAAGACAACGAGAAAAGGATTTCTTCACCACAAGGTGGAGCCATGGACCTACACGATGACTACTTTTTAAAAAGGCTTTCTTTGGGAGCAGAAAGGGCCTGAAAGGTGAGAAGAAGATCACATAAGAGACAAAGGTAGTCCTTCTTAGGTCAGGTGTGAGAAGGAGCAGAGCAGACTTTAGCATAGTCCTGTGAGGGAGACATCAGGAGGGAAGCAAAGTTATCAGGTGCCTCAATAACCAAACAGAGATGTCTTGGCCATTTCATTCTATCAGCTGCTGCAGAACATCCTCACCTCACTCACCTGATTCAGGTAAAAGTAAGACTCTGCCTCTTGCAAGTACAACTTCTCTTTCTGCTCCACCGGCAGCCCAGCCAGTAGCTCGTAAAACACATGGTAGTTCCTCTCACCATGGGCCTGACAGGGAACAAAGTTTCTAGAGTTGACTCATACCCAGTTCCAAAACCCTACAGAATACATGCTGCCATGAACCAAACACTCAAAGAGCAGGACACTGAAACTTTGAGGTCAGCAAGAAGAGGCCAGAAGCCACCCAAGAACTATTTCATTTGAAAAGTTTCCAGGGTTTCTCACTGACACCTTAAGAGCATTCCATTTGAGAGCAGTCCCTTTCACACAGCTCCAATATCCGACCTCTTCCACTCTCCAGACATTAACAAAAATTAGTTGAGGAGAGATTTAACTTCCAGTAATCCCTAAGAAGTGGCTTAATTCAACCTGTTTGAGACAGAGTGACCTCCTATTTTACTCAAATAAAATAAGCGATTACCTTGTGCTACACAGAAGGGACACATTTCTTGCTAACAGAATAAATGGGAGGCAATTCTCATACTTATTCCAATCCCTGTTATTTAGCAGTACATTTAAGATTAAATATGATTAATATAAAATATTAAGGGAGAGAGGGACCCCTCTAGGAGGGAGGGGCTCATTTGTCCTCACCTGAAATACCACACGAGACTTCTCCAGGAGGTACTGGGAGATGGATGTTCCCACCACGATGCCACTGAGCATGAGACAACAACAGATCGTGTCAGAAGCTAGTGACATGTTTTCTGTAGATCCATTTCACTGAGGGTTTAGCAGAGGAAGTTGTTGCTGAGAAACAAGGGTATGACCTGACCAACTTGGTCTGAATTTTGAAGCTTTCAAGCACAGGTGTTTTGTATCAGACTGTTACAGAGAAAGCAGCTATGAAACATAGAGATTCAAGTCTGTGTTCTGAACAGCCTCCAGAGTACAAAGGAGCTTGGACTTGAGTGATCCTCACAGGGTATGTCCTGAAAATAATCCAGGTAACATGCCACAGCCCTTCCCTTCAGCCATATCTGATTGCTGTTGCGTTACCACTCCCCCTTCTGACCTTGGCCACCCATTTCATATGTCGGGCTGATAGCCTTTGGGGACAGGGACCACCTATTTGTTTTGTAATTTAATTGCATCTTGCACAGAGTGATCCTGAACAAAACCCGGGATGTCCAAGTACTACAGCAATAGTGGGCCATGCAGCCAGCAGCCTGGAGTTAAGCTGCATGCAAGGATCTATAGGCCTTTAAGCCTATCATGTGTCTCATATAGATTAGGCAGATGTGTAAAGAAGGGCTGAATTAGCGGGCACCTGAATATATACAATTGATTTGAGAAGAGTCAATATGGCTTCTGTAAAAGGAGGTCCTGCCTCACAAAACTCCTGGAGTCGTTTGAAGGGGATGACAAATTTGCAGATAATAATGATCTGAGGGATATAGTCTACGTGAATTTCCAAAAGGTTTTGACAAAGTTGTGGGACTTTCAGGGAAACCAAGCAACCACAGTGTTAAGAGGGAACGTCCTGACATGGGTAGGAGTAAATGGCTAATCCTCTTAACAGTGGGAGGCAACCACTAGAGTTCCACAAAGTGTCTGTGCTCTGACCTGTGAGAGTAATTCAAGTTTTGATAAGTGACCTAAAAGAGGAGCTGAACAGCAATGTGACAAAGCTTCCTGATTGTATGAAATTATTCAAGGCAGTGAGGATGAAGGCCAACTCTGAATAAATGCAGACAGACCTTACAATACTGAGTGAGCGAGCAAGAAAATGGCACATGAAATCCACTGTTGATAAATGTAAAGTGATGCATACAGGCCGAAGTAATCCCAGCTTCACATATAAACTGACAGGCTCCAAGTTAACCATTGCTGCTTAGGACTGAGACCTTGGGGTTATGATAGACAGTTCCATGAAAATATCAGCTCAGCGCTTGGCAACAGTCAAAAAAAAAACAAAACCCAGAAGTTAGAAAGGAGGCACGTTCAAAACAAAAAAGGGTGTTTTTCACTGGTTAGACCTACAGAACACTTGCCAAAGACTGTTGCAGAGGCATGAGGTTTATACGAGACCAAGAAGAAACTGGAAAACCACAAGAGTCTCAGAAAAACTCCTGAGCTGCTGCAAATGGTTAAGAGCTGACAGAGTGTTAGAGAAAAGCATCATATGTATTTGGCCTTTCTTACTGTTGCCTCAGTGAATGCTTGTGGCCAGTGTTGGAGACAACATTGTATTAGATGGCTCCTTGTTATAAACTAGTTCAGCCATTCTTATGTTCTTAATTTATCACCCATCTTGACAGGTGAAGATCTATTCTTTTGTGGAGGAACCTAAAAGCAAAATAGGGGTGTAAACTCATCCTCTTCCTATCCTGATGGTAACAAGAGTGTAAGGGAGGGAGGGCTATTGCATGAGCTCTCAGCGCTGCTAGACCTTTTCTCACCCAAGCACCCCTTGACAGCTGGGAAGGACAGCATCCCAAGATGTTCCTTTAACTCACCATCGCAGATGGACATTCAGAAGCTTTCCAAAACGGCTCGAGTTGTCATTGAGAATGGTTCTGGCATTCCCAAAACTCTCCAGGATGGGTAGGACATTGCAGGGCTTGAAGAAAAGAGAGAGAGAACACTTCAGTAGCAATCATGGGGGTTTAAACCCCAAAGGAACTTAAGTAACTGTTAGTTTGAAAATCCAAGAAAAATGGGACTTCACTGAAAGAATTCTTGCCTGGCTAAAGAGTCTTTTTTAAAATTTATTTTGGTATCATTACCTCTAGCCATTGGTGAGTTGCTCTATGAGCTTTTTACCTTCACTGCTATGACCTTTCACTTTACTTCTGCTCTGTTTGTTCAGATTCACCTCCCAGACACTGCTATAAGGTCTCTAAGGCAGGTATCATCTCTCTGTTCAAACAGATACAGCACATTATACAGCATCAGGGTTCCCAGATACTAAAATACAGAAGAACAAATACATCAGCTGCCCTCGAGTCTTTATGGAAGCTTCATCTTGAACCACAAGCCATGCAAATTCCAGCTCAGTTAAACAGGAACAAAGAAATAACATAAACAGTATGGCCTCTTTACCCTGCCTTTGGCTTCTGCTCCTTGCCTAACAATCACAGCATAAAGCCAATTTCAGTTGCCTCTTACCTGTCTGACCCTGTGGCTGTCTGATCGCTGGTACAGCATGGTCAGGTATTGCACAATTGCTTTGGCAGCTTCTGTTTTACCTGATCCACTGTGTCCACTGGAGGAACAAGAGGAACAAGGAAGCTGGCATGAAAACAGAATTACCCAATTTAGACATATCAGAGGACCTGTTACAGTAAATCAGTGGAGTTGTACTGATTTACAACAAATGAAGATCTATCACATATTGTTTGAAACACTGACACGATTTGACAAAATAGGCCCAAATAAGATTCCATTGTGGAAGGCCAAATGCCTTCTCTTCCACTTCTCCAAACAGATGTGAAGCTAAATTCAAACTGTATTTGCAGAGTGAAATAAAAATCCATCTTATTCATGTTCCCTACTGACAGCCTTCACACAAGAGCCAGAATGATAAACTTACAGACAGTGAAATACAAAGACAAAATTCTTGCATAAAGAAATCAACAAGCTTTTGAAAAAGTACCCTTATTTCCTACCTGATGATAACACACTGCTCTTGCTCTGATGACTGGGATAGCACGTAGGCCATTTCTGCTATGGCAAAGATGTGTCTAGATGTACAGAACAAAAAACCCAGTTAACTGACCTCACATTTCTACCTCACAAATACAGCACCAAAAGGTTACTCATCAGTGACCTACATTAGAGATGGGCCAGTATCTGATCTGAGAAATGTGAGGAACCAGGGAAATCAGAGCTTTGTTCTTTGGTGACATCAGGTTAGTACCACAGTTACAAGCTACTGCAAAGTTCAGGTTCCTCCAGGACCTCTTCAACCTAACCTGAGTAATGCTCTGTCCCATAGCATTTAATATAAGGGACACCTGCAGTAATATCTGCACTAGAGGAACCTGCCTACATTGCTAGTTCTGGTAGGGCTGTACCAGTGTTAGCAGTTACTTCCAGAACTCCTAAGGTGCAGTCCCAACAGGCACTGAATTCAGGACTTTCAAGTAATACTTGAAGAAACTTGACCTAAAGAGTTTAGCTCCGTAAGTCCGAGCAACTACAACTTTGCCAAATGGATTGTTCACTTCCTGTGGCATTCATCCTGCTCTGTCAGACAACTGGAGGAAAATAAACTACTTTCTGGAGCACAAACAGAACAGAGTTTAGGGAGTTATTTGAGAAAGAGAAACATACGGGGCATTTTTTGAGAGAGTCCCTTGGTGGTACTGGGTAGCCACATCTTCAGAGTAGATACTGAGGTCTTTGAAAGGATTCACAGAAACCAAAATTTGCCCAATGTAAGTCTAGGACAAAAATAAGAAAGGGAAAAAAACATCTGGTGCCTTCTTAGAATTTTCTGAATAAGAAATGCAACTGAACACATATATTAATACAAAGATTAAAATGACCTTTAAAGGAATATTGTCTATTCTGACTATACTGCCAGCTTATTCAGGGCATAACACAATTTTTCAGTGGTCATTTTCAAAGCTCTGTCATTAATATTTGGGGATAAGTGGGCACTCACTGGTCCGTGGTCATCTTCAGTGGTCACTGTCTATTCTCCAAGCTTCACATGAAATTACAGGCACAGGTTTGAACACCTGAGCCAGTAAATGAAAAAGAGAACAATTAGCCATCCAGAACTATCTCTGGACTGCAACACTGTGAAATGTTGCAGAAACTCTGAAGTTTATTCTCAAGATCCACAATTTTTACCAGAACTACTTTGCTAAGACAGGAGAGTTCCACTAGGTGCAGCTGAAGCTAAAACTGAACCTAAGTATGCTCATGGGTTGGCAACAAATACCAAAATTAAAGAGAAACTCTGAGACTTTCAGATTTTACTACAAATATTTCATGCTACCCGTTTTCTGAGCAAAAGCAGTGTGAGTATCCTTCTTATCACCATTCCCAGTAATGAGTGAGCTCTTGAACTACTTAGTGCATTATTAAAGCTTGAAAGAATGATAGAAATCATTTTCTCTTAAAGCTCATTGTTCAGAATGAATAAGCACTGAAGAAAAAAAGAAATAAAACAAAACACCACTACCCATACATAAATAAGATTGCGATGGAACCTCTTCTTCAGACACAGCAGAACTGAGCTCTCACAGACTTCCCTACAAACAGAGGAAAGGGCTTGTCAGCCACACACTTCACTTGCATGTGTTAATATTAACCTTTCTGCCCTCCCAAGGATTTTGTAGGAGGCTGGGATCTGAAACTATTCACTGCCTTCACACGGTTCCAATGTGTCCAGGATTAAACACAGCAGAGAATAGAGCAGCCAAAGCTCAGAACATCCAGCCTGTCCATCTCCATGTGATCACAACTCCTTGCACATAGCCTTTACAGCTGTTTATCTCAACAGGATGGCAAGGGTAGAGGGTGCACGACATGTGTGAGAAGCAGTGTTAGGTGTTTCTCTTTCAACAACAGCAGTGAACCCATGATTTAAAAGCTGTTAAAGATGTAGGGCCTGAGTCTGCCACAGCTGAAGGCAATGGGAGTCACTAAAGCCACAGATACCAGTGTCAGTAGGCAAACAACATAGAAATGTGACTCTCATCCTGCAAGTCTTCCTGACTTACCACCCACTTCATGCAACAAGAATGATATGTCAAATTCCCAATTCTGTCCCTCTGCAACACCACAAAAGTCACATCAGCCTCTAAACCTCACTTCCCCTACCCACAAAGTATATTTGGGGTTTTTTTAGAACCCATTTCAGGACTGGGTACCATTTAACAGGAGAGGAAGAGTTCTCTGGATGCATCCGTAAGAAAGTCTGCTAACTAGGATGAGCTGCTCTCTCTGCTGTGTGACTGCAGACATTCAGTCTGCACTCTCTGTGCAGCAGAGCTTGGGGATGCACTACACATAACAGCCAGGAGTTCCCTCTGCAGCTGTGCTCCTCCCCACATGATTCAGTGTAGGTCCATAACTTAAATAGTGCAATTCAGTCTTTTACTTAGCTTTACTATGGAGCATCAGCTACTCAGCACATTAATTCTATTTTCTCACATGGTAGCCAAGGATCTATAATGTGCTTTCTGTTCTTGAACCAACAGTAGCTTTGAAGGATAACAAGCAAGCCCCTGTGACCTTGAATTAGCTGCAGAATACCACTGACAAGACATACTCCAGTCTGGTTAGATCTTCAATCTCCTCAACTTCTAGACAGTGGTCTTCACACATGTACACCTGAAATGCATAGAGACATTACTGAAAATCAGGAGAAGTTCAGCTTCATTCCAATACTGGAGGCAACACCTGTACCTGTTTCTGCATGAATTCCATCTCTAGCATATTGTCAGTGATGTCTTCGGCCTCCCACTGATCCTTGCAGACTGTCATTGCATGGCTGTTGGTCAGATGTGGGTCCTTGTAGATGGCCCATTTGCTTAGGTTCTCAACAGTTAGTCGTGGCAGCAGCAATTCAGAGTTCAGCCATGCTGCAGGATCGCATCCCTGAGCCTGCTGCTGAGACCAGTGAACACAAGGCGTGACTATGGACCCTGCAGTCTGGAGGACACCTGAACCATCTTTGACATCTACCTCACAGGAATAATCTGATGTACATATTGGATCCTTTTCTGGATGTGGAAGGAAGCCCTGTTTACTGTTTCTCTGAGGGCTTTGATCCATCAAATGTCTGGGAAGGTCACATTTGAACCTGCAACCTTGTTGCACCGGCATCACAGATTTTCTGTCTGATAGAGATCCCAGTTTCTCTAGGGAATAACCATTCTTAGAGCCCCTGGATAAGGAGCTCTTTGTCTTAACCATGCTGTGGACTCTGGGGAATACTATAGCAAACTTGGCATCAGTAGCATTGTTCTTCTCCTCATCCAAGCTAATTAAGTATGGAAAGGAATTGGTTCCGTGAAGAGGGGAATCAGCAGAAGGCAAATCAACATGTCCCACTTCCTCTGCCATTCTAGGACCACCTTCCGCCTCCACTAATGGAGGAGAAGATTCTTTGTCACTCGACTCAGCCCTCCCCAGCTGTCCGGTGGCACCAGGGAAGGCTTTGCCAGACCTACCAATCCACCCAGCAGTGCTTACAATCCGGATTGCCACTCTACTTCTGAATCCAAAAGGTTTGCTGCTCCTTTTCCTCTTCCCAAATTTCTTCAAGAGCCATCTTGAAATACCAATTGCACGTGCCACGCTCAGAAGACGAGCTTTCAGTGGTGCTTTCTTGGCAGGTTTTTGACCAAGCCAGCTGGTGACTTTTCTAAAAGCAGAATGGTTGTGCAAGTACTTGGATCCTTTCCCAGCATGCACATTTTCTTTTTCAGAAGGTGCCTCTGCAACCACTTCTTCTGCTTTCTCTTTTTTTGCATCCAAAGTCTGGCCCGAACTCAGTTTAACTTTTCCAGTAACTTTTCCAACTTTCTTCTTCTTGCCAAGGAACTGCTTATCAGATTTTTTTGTAATAGTGGAGTAGCTTGAAATATTTGAAAGATTTAATCTTTTCTCTCCAAAACTCTGAGCTATGTTGGGTTCTTTCTGTGTACTGAGGGTTTCTAGAGTCATGGGTTTTGAACAGATGTTTTCAACATTTTTCAGGTCAGAGTTGGTTTCCAAAGCCATCTGGACAGGATTTGGTTTACAGCTTGTTAACAGTTTGGTCTCAGCATTTTTATGTTTGTTTTTCAGATTGAGAAGGATTTGGGATTGAGAAGAACATTTCTTTGTAAGCATCATCACTGCTAACTCCTGCTTGCTGGAGCCTGAAGAACTGTGCCTCTGTCTATGTCCTACCACTTTACCTTGTTCTGCAATCTCACGCCTCCCATGTTTCTCCTTCAATGTTTTCTGCTGCTTGGAGAGCAAAGGGTTATCTTCCAGTGCGCTGCCTTCTTCATTCACCTTCTCTTCCCGTTCAGTTCCTTGAAGTACTTTGCTGAGGTGAATGTGGAGTTTTGCTTTAGCAGCACTAGGCAGTGGTTGTTCTGTTGCATTTTCTTTTCTTTTGTCAATGCTCTCTTCAGTGCTGCTCTCCCTATTGCTGTTAGAATTATCATGTGCGTCTTTTGACATATCTTGAACTTTGCCATTTTCTAATATATTTTCCTTGCCTACTTCATTATTGGTATTTTCTCTGTTCTTAAGACTTTTAAGTTGGAATCCTGAAACGCTTACACCACCTTCCTCACTGCCCTCAGCTAGAATAGATTTTGGTTGTCTTGGCATGTCATCTTGCTTCTTCATTGTCTCCTCTGCCTCCAATCCTGCAAAGTCAGTGCCTTCATCCTCAGATTCATTCATTCCATCTGTGGTCACCTGCTCCCTTTCAGTTTCACTGGATGCTTCATTGCTTTTATCAAGCAGTTCCTTGTAGCCTTTTCCTTCAGCCACAGGAGGATCTTCAAGCATGGCTTCTTTCTCACTGATGCCATCTTCCTCTGAAGAGCTACTCTTCTCTTCACTGCTTGCAGTGCTGACCACTACAGTCTCTTTTGTACCTTTTTTAGGGGTCCAATGGCCTTCATTGCTGGAGTCAGAGCAGGAGTTATCTGAGGTTTCCAGGATATTTTCTTCTGCACTTTCAGTGACAATAATCCTGGTATGTTTTCCAGCTTGCTTTTTCCCAGCTCTGTCACCTTTTACCTGTGCCATACTGCCTTGGGATTGAAAACCTGACTTCTGCTCAGAAGCTTCCTTAAAGCCGTGATTCTCACTGTGCTTTTCCCTAGGCCTGGCACCATGTGCCTTCTGCGACAAGTCATGTTTCTGAACAGATCCTTCAACACTTTGCACTGCAATTGACTTTACAGAGTCTGACTTGGTGACTTTTTTGCTAACAGCAAGACGCTTTCCACACTTCTTTTTACAACTGTATTTCTTGCTGTTTGTGGCGGCTTTTTCCTCCCTATCGCTACTGTCCTCACTTTCTAGTCCTGATGTCATTTCCTGTTGCTTGCAGGCCTTTTCTTTTTTCCCCTCCAACTTGGACACTAGCTGTTCTCCATATTTTCTCCTCAAAGCAGATTCTCTTTTATCATTTCTCTTGTAGGCTCTTCTTCCCCGGAATAACTTTTTGTGGCCATTTTCTTTGCCTCCCTGAAGCCTCACCAGCCTCTGGCTTTTTAAGGGGTCTTTTTCAATGATGTCATCTTGTTCAGGCAATGACTCTTTGCCCTTCAGCTGGCCTTTACTCTTACCTTCCCACCGTCTCCCACAGTGGATCTTAGAATTTCCTGGGGAGCTTGCCTTTTTCTCACAATTCAACAATTTCTCTTTTCCAAACTTTTTCTGCTGAGTCTTGGATTGGGAAGGAGGCATTTCTCCAGTGTTCAGGAGTATGTGTGGGCTTATCTGAATTCACCTATGAAAGGAAATATTGTGCATTTTGCTGTGAAATAGGCTACAAAGAGAGGCCAGATATTCCTAAGCAGTAGTTTACCTCATTTCTACAGAGCCAAACAAATGTTTGCAGAACCATACCTGTGCAGATGAGGAGTGCCAAACTGACTGTCCTGTTCCATGTTAATCTCTGTTTTGTCATGAATCACCCTTATTTTCTTCTTTTATTAGGACTCTTGCCAGAGGCCAGTCATGTACAGACAACGGAACAAATGTCCATGATTTTCCACAGTTGACAAAGGTTTGGCCACACTGTAGTTTAAGAAAGAATGATTATTTTATTTCAGTTTTTGCTTCTCCAATAACCTTCTTCGTGCTGAAGAAAAGAGGAACACATCTAATGACCTATGTCAAATGAATTAACAATAAATAGTTCACTCAGTTTCCTATGTATCCAGAATCACATTTTGACCTATATGAACAACACTGGCTTGCAGGTTGAAAACACATGATACTGAGTAGATGCTGTATGGCTGAGTAGAACTGAAAAGAACACAACTAATTGTTAACCCCCCCCCAAAAAAAATTAACTCAGACAAGCCACATTGATACTGCAGTACTAGAATCTGTACAAGCTGAGCTGATACGTAATTAGTAGAAAGGATGCAAAAATATAAGCCCCATTTCTTGTGTTTAGTTATTATTCTTCCCTGTTTTATTTGAGCACTTGTCTCTTAACAAACAAATAAGTACAAATAAATTTCAATACATATCGTAATTACAGTTAAATAGTATCTGATTTTCCAGGGGCTAACCTTTTAAATTTTCTGCAGTGCAAGAGAAGAACATTAAGGAACAGATCATACTCAATTTAGCCCAAATAGCAAAATGTATGAGGAAACCAGCTCTCATAGCAAATAATGTCTGTCCCTGAACAGCTCTCCTGAAATCTTACTGGAGAGAAGGCTAAATAAATAAGGGAATTAATGAGGAATGGGAAAAAGAGAGAATAAATAAAGTGGTAGAAAAAGAAATATAATAGAGTGGACAACAATAACAATCCAATCTTGTAAACTGATAATCTCTGCAGGAAAAGGCAGTTGAAACTAGGTTAAGTTTGTAGCATAAGTCTACATTTCAGAATTGCTTCTGAAGACATAAAATACTGACAGAAAATTGCCTTTTTTTTTTTTTTTAATTTTAGTATAGCGCATGTTAGTTGCCCACAGCAAAAGGATTTTGAAATCATTAACTGATTCTACATCAGGATTTTTGTTGATAAATAAATGTACTGCAAAAACACACTGCATAAGTCCTGGCAAGTGTTTGTATGCCAAAGAAAACTCCTAATGCAGACCTGGTGCATGTCCGTGAAATTGCCTGACTCCATCTTTTCTTTTAGTATGATGGGCCTGGTTTTGAATGGTGTGTTCCCTGAACAAGTGTTCAATGCCTTCCAGGATCTGGCTAAACTGAGCAAGAAGTCAAAAGCAAATACTACTCCACTATGTAACAGCATCTCCACACAACTCCTCCCAAGTACACTGTTATTAGCTGATAGTCTAGGAAAAGTTCAGTATTTGAAGTGTTAATCAGTATTGCTTATCTCTTTATCCCTCCTCTAATCATAGGCAGGAAATAAAGGATATAAAAGTGCCCAAAGGATTAGTCCTGACCTTTCAGCCTGTTGGAAAATATCACTTCTATCCTTTCCAGTTATAAAGATCCTTTATTTTATAAGTCAACCTCTTGTTGCTTCAGACAGACCAAAATACCACTTGTGCTCCAGACTCCACTTCTACCCATTTGTCTGAATGAAGTGCTAATGGCAGAGCCTGGTTTTGATTCCCCGGTCACTAAACACTTCAAGGCAAAGGTCCAAACCAGAAAACAGTAAGAGCATAACTGAAAGGAAATCATGGACCAGAGAAAGGAAGACTTGGAGGTGAATGGAGGAAAATGGGACTAAGGAAAAAATCTTACACCAAGAAAACCCAACAGTCTGCAACATCTTTCCAAAGGAAAAAAAGGTAAAAAGCCTCCTGTTAGGGGCATTTGTAACTACCTTAAAGATTACATTAGCCAATGATGGGCAAGGAACAAGCTAACACACAGAACACAGGGAAATTCCATTACATATTTTGTCCTCTCACCTCTTTCTTTGTTAAACTCTTCTTTCCCTTTGCTCCTTCTTTCTCCTTCTCTTTGTTTTTCAGCCAACTCCATAGATTCTCTACAGGCAGAAGAGAAATTTCCACCCATCATAGCCTTACAATTTCTCTCAATAGGTAACAGAGGACCTAGCAGTCAAGATTTTGTTACTAATTGCTACTGTCATCATAACTCCACAAACCATTAACTTATTTATTTAAAAGATGACATACAGTGTCTGGAAGCCTTCGGTCAGATGGTGGGCTACTATGGGATGCTGGCGACGTATCTACCTGTCTCACAGCTCTGAACCCTGCATCTCGGTGACCATGGTTGCAGTGGACAAGCTCTGACAGCCATAGCCAACGGTAATGGGGACTGCAAAGACGCACAAGGGCCAGTGGGGAATTCTTGAGAGACGGGATTGAGCTGGGAGGATTAGCTATACTATATGGTACATATGTTTTCTTCCTCATAATGGAAAGTAAACCCTTGCTGGTTATTGTACACATGCTACAAGCCCAGAAGAGTTCTGGCCAAGATCTGTTGAAACTTGCTTCCATCCACAGGCCTCTCCTTGCCCTAAGGTAGGGGGACACGGGAAGAGTACACAGTCAAGATTGCAATTCAGCATAAAGCTTTAAATCTTTGCAGCTACTATAAAGTCTGACAACTAACGAGAATTTTTAACCTTTAGTACCTCAAGAAGACAGCCTACTCTGCTGGATGGAAATCCATCCACTCTCCAGAATACCTCATGACTTCCTTGCAGACTACAACTTGTCCAAGCATCCTTACAAGTTATTTAAAAACAAACAAATCAACCCCCCAAGCCATTAAAAAAATGCATTCCAGTGCTCTGGGAACAAACTGGTAAAGAACAACTCAGTGAATCGAAGTTTGCCTCACCTTAATCACCCCAAGGAGGGCAGCAAAACCACATTTGAGATTTACACAGTCCAGAAAGGCTGATGCTCTAAAAAAAGCACACTAGGTATATATAAAGCATATTGTTTTATTGCAAATGGGTTTTTTTGCATACTACCCATTTTGCACTCTTCTGCATGACAGACCAATCTTCTGCAACTGGAAAAAACACTATCTCCCTTTTCCTCAGTTGCAACTCTGACGCTGAGCAAAAAGCTGCTGCCCTGACAGCACTGTTACGTACAGTTAAAGGTTTCTCAACAATCAGTGTCTTCAGTGTTCCCTCTAAACTTGCTTTTTTCCTCTGGTCTAGAGTTGACACTATTCAAAACATCTTGGACACATATGTTGCATAGTACAGAGTTCATCTCTTGACATCAAATCCTCTTCTTTTATCCTTCTCTTTAAACAGTACTCTCTATAATACATAGGTGTCTGGTCACCTTATTTCAGCCCTCCCTCCCCATTTAATATACCAATACTAGTGGCCTAGATCTCTAAATCCTGCAACAAGACTTTTGTTACTGAGATTAAGGGTAGCTGAATTAGACCCTAAATCCTAAGTACAGAATAGTTGTTAATATTCTATCCTCCTGGGGGCTTAATGTTGATACTGCTTCTCTACAATGCCAAATGCAGTAGAAAAAAAAATTCGAAGGTCTGCTTTTATGCGCTGCTGCTAGATAGTCATGTGACTGGAAAGTTAAAGCCTTCCACAAAACAAAAATGCTGCAATACTTGGATGATGAGGAAGATCAGGAACACTGCCCAAATTTGTAGGGAGTTTAGACACAGGACTTTGGTTTGACTCACTGTGAAGAAAGGACTCCAAACTCTGAATCTAGGTTAGAACGTGAAAACCTAGAGTTCACAATTCTTCTGAGACAGGGTTTTAGAGCATGTTGTTTTGTAACACCACTGTTATTACTGGGAATGGTAAGATGAATCACTGCTTATATAAACAATTCCTTTGACATCAGACCTGCTTTGATTAACTGGCCTGGTCCATCTGCCTCCTGGACACACTGGAGCAGGTGAAAGATCTTGCTCATCGTTTTCTCAACTCCCCTCACTATACCAACTTCATCTAAATCACTACAGGAAAAAGAACAACTCGATTTTGTTCTTCCCTTTTAGAAGAAATAAGAATACTTTACGTCAGAGAAAGGAGAACCTCAGTGACAGAACACAGCATGAACCTACAGACAAAAAGAAGAGCTGATAGCTCATGCTGTTATTTTAAGACTAGTAGAGAAGTGAGTCTAATCTTCCCTAAACACAGTGGTTTCTCCCAACTCATACAGAGGAAAAAATACAATTCTTAATCTTAAAGGGAAGTGCTTGGAACTTAATTCTTAACTGTTTCTATTTTCATTCACCTGTACAAATTGCTCAGGCTCCTTCATTATCACTCTGCACAGTAACTTTTTCAACATACCTATGCTGTCTGTCCTGATTCCGGTGAGCTTCTCAGTACCGCATATCATAGGTCATATTCATGTATACGGTAACATACTCATTCTCCTGTGCCTTGTTTCCCTGCAGCCTGGAGTCTGTTCCAGCATCCTTGCAAGCCTGCCCAACGTTGGAGTCCAACATCAACTCTGGCTGGGCTGCGCCCAAACAGCAGCTGATTACAGGCATATGGAAGGAAAGTGGCATCAATAATTCAAGCTTTCTCATGGTACCTTTGAACTTTTCAACCAGCAATATCACCAGCTGGTTGGCAGAGTTTTGGATAAAAGAAGAGGTGGGATTTCACCTAGGCAAGAATCAGGCTCAGATGTGGTGTGATTAGGTACATCTCCAAAGAAAGACTGAAAAGGAGAGGTCATTTCCAATACCAAAACATGTCTGCTATAACCTAAGAGGCTACCAGACAAGGCATCGTGAATACTATC